ATGCTTTTCAAATAATACTTTAAATTTGTGAAAGCTAACATATGTTTTTGTATAGCTTTTATGGCTGTTTTCTAATTATAGGGCTCTGGCTGAGTGGAAATTTTATATAGTGGGTGTATGCTATATTATCCAAGCTTAGCACTGCAAATTCTCTTCTGAAGAAAATTTGATGAGCAGATTTTAATGTAGGTACTGAAACAAGGCCAAACCAGAAGTTCTTCTGAGAACTGGCAGTCTGCCTATTGGTCATTATTGTTTCCCAAACAAATATATCTGAAGAAATGATATTTAAAACCTAGAGGTACATAATCTTTAAGACATATAATTTTGAAAACTGTAATCTCATGGTTCACATAATCTCTGTCATGACTACAGTGGTCTATATGGGGAAATATTTAGAAATTACAAATCTACTTTTGGCATATTAAAAATATCATGGCCTGGACTATTTAAGCATAAATTTTGCTTACATTACTTTTCTCAGAATGAGTCCCTTCATTGATTTGTATAAATTTTTCATATGCAAAGTTAAGAAAATTAATTCTTAAAAAATTAACTCTAGAAACAATGAGGTTCTTTTAAGTAGTAAAATAGAAGGTACTAATTTTTGCTTAAAAAGAGAAATTTCTTTTAAGGCTGTATGAGTGATAAAGTTTAATGTTTAACTCTCTTCATAGACATTTGCATTTTAGAGGGAAAAAAGGCTTGGGACAGGCATAATATTCTGAAATACATGAACATCAATGAAAATAAGGATTTGACCCCTAATAGGCAGGGAGCCTTCTAGGATGCAAACAACTAGAACCAAGAGAAATAGGACCTATTCCTGTCACACAGGCTCCCTACCTGAAATCCAGCTCCATCCCTCACAGCCCAGTAGCCAACAAAGGCCAAATGTTGATCCTCTCACTTTGATTAGAACAGTTGCCAAAATCCTTCAGTTCATTTCTAACTTGATCTTTTATTATTGTCTCTACCTTGTAAAGTGAAATCTCCTCACCCAACACTCTCCTTTCCTGTTCCACACCCCTTCCCAAATCTGAATCTGCTTAGGGCCATCTAGACCTGGTGTTTGTACTTGGTTTATGAGGTGCAGTTCAACTGTTCACTCTCAAATAGTTTTGATCTGGACTCTCCTTCCTTCTTTTCAGGGCCCTTTACTGTGCTGACAGAAAGCTACCTAGGATGTAAAACTGTAATCTCAAGTTTGCTTGAAGAGTGTTGAGTTGAAATGGAACCTAGGTTGAGTGATTTGAAAGGTTAAAGGGCCTACTAGAGTCATTACGTGGAAGTACTGCCAAGCTAATGGTCAAGTTGACTGCTCAGTATGTCCCCAGCCTGTGGGACTCAGGGAGGCAGTGCCACATCCTGCATTTCAGGCCTCCTTCAGGCTGTTCCCTCTGTACCTTGTTAACTCATTGATTTTTTTAGACTTATTGTTAGCCAATGTGTAATCCTGTTCTGCTTGAGACACATTTCTGCAGTATCCTATTTCATTCATGATACATTTTTTATTATTGTAATTATGTCTTCAAATTCTCCAACTTTTAGAGGTTATTCTTGTCTAGTGCCAAATGAGTGAGATCTAAGTTCCCACTTCCATTTCCAAGGTTGCCCTCTTGCTTTGGACTGCTGCTGTCCTCCTGCTAATCACCGCTAATCCTCTTAAACCTTTTTATGGGTTGCTTTGCTTTCCTAGTAAATATTGTATTATTTTTTTGTCACTGTGATGAAATATCTGAGGCAGAACTCTTATGAAGAAAAAAGAGACTTATTCACCTCAAAGTTTTAGATTCAAAGGCTGGCATAGGCTCAGCTCTGAAGAGAGCCCTCTTGGCCATATTACATCATAATGGATAGCAAAAGTGGGAGTGTGTAAGGGAGCAAGTGGTCACCTCACCAGAGGAAACGAGAACTGGGTGGGGCCAGGCTCAGGCTTTTAAAACAACTCTCTGGAGAGAACTACCAAGGGACACCATGAGAAATACCTTTTTTTTTTTTGCGGTACTGGGGTTTGAACTCAGGACCTACTCCTTGAGCCACTCCACCAGTCCTTTTTTTGTGATAGGCTTTTTTTTTTGAGATAAGATCTTGTGAACTATTTGCCCAGGCTGACTTTGAACTTCAATCTTCCTGATCTCTGCCACCAGTACCCCAGAAAGATGCCTTTTAAGGAAATATCCTTTTAAGGACATGTTCCCAATGACCCAAGAACTTCCCATTAGGCCCTCCGTCTTAAAGGTTCCATACCATTCCCCACTGAGGACTCAGTTTCTGACATGGACCCTTGAGGGACAAATCACAACCAAACCATAGTAACTACATACCCCAAATTTTTGTACAGACCTCTCACTGGATTCTCCAAGACATTGGAAGAGCAGGCTTACTGTGTTAAGTCAGAACTCATGGTTTCAAGAAACAGAAAATCAGCTTCAATGGCTCAAAGAAAAATACCAATAATGACAGCAAAAGGGAGTGTTAGCTAATGTGTTTAAAAACACAAGGACTGCACGTAGTTCAAGGTTTGGTTGAATTCCAGGGTTCCAATAATAGGAATCATTGGAGGAATCAGCTTCTCTTCATCTCTTGCCCCTGCTTTTCTCTGTTTTGACTTCATTCTCATGAAGGCTCTCCTGGGTGGCAGCAGAGAGGATTTTTGTTCCTAGGACTTTAGCAAGTCCATCAAAAAGAAGAAACATTTCTTTCCAAGTACAGAAAACATCCCAGTATTAGGAGTTTTGCAGCCTGGCTTAGATGTCTAACTTATTCCTTAAATAATCACTTGGCAAATGTTCTTGGTGACTGGGGGCTAGGTTGGAGGGACTGGGATGAGGAATCAACGGTACCCACCACACATGAATGAGAGCAATGGAGGAGTTACTACTTGGGAAGAAAAAATGGCTACATGTTACCAGAGGGAAAACCAATGCTGAAAGTTTAGAGAAAAAAACAAAACAACAAAAAAAAAATGGCAGATGCTCATTACATATGAACATTAGCAAAGAAAATTTTTAGCTTAAAACATTTTAAAATCTACCTTAAAATTAATTCATATTGCTGTCCTGGGTTTTCCGTCTCTGCAGAAGGAGATGACTCAAGTGGTACAGCACCTGCCTAGCAAGTGTGAGGCCCTGAATTCAAACCCCAATCCTGCCAAAAAAAAAAAAAAAATTAAACCTGAAAATACCTCATATGTATAGGCAGGGTTAATAACTATTGAATAGGACAATTTGCAAAATAAGAAAAGCCAAATAGGACAAGCATGGGAAGCATGTTTAATCTCACTTGTAATTTTTTAAAAAAAAACTACTGACTAAAACAAGTTAATATTTTAGGCTGGTAGGTGAAAAAACTAGTAAAACTGGTAATACCCAGGGATGAAGACAGAAAGCAGAAAACATATGCAAGGATACCCTATCATTGTTAATAATACCAAAACTTTGGAAACAACCTAAAAGCTGCTGTGTAGACAATCAATTAAATGCTAATAGGAAAGTCACACAGTGAGATAGAGAACAGTTAAAAATGATCACATGGAGACTGGGTGTGACCCAGTGGTAAAGTGCTTGCTTAGCATTTTCGAGACCCTAGGTTCAATCACCAGCACCTCATGCACACAAATCAATCACATAGACAATATTAATTGATAGAAATGCTGTCTATTGTGTATACTCTATTAATACTTGAAGTATTAATTTTTCATCTTTTAGAATAGGTAACATATACAGTATTAAGTAAATTTTTAAACTTTCCTCTACTTACACCTAACCTCCTGACCCACCTTCCATCTCATTGCCTGTCAATGAAACTTTGGTTCATAAACTGCCAGGTCACTTCCTGCACAAATAAAATCATAAGTCTGTGTGTGTAGATATGAACAGATCTGTATCAACATTATTTGTAGCCATATACTCATACAGGATTTCTTAACAAAATAGGGCTCATAAAGTGTGCATACATGTTACTCAGTAACTTCCTTTTTATGCTATAAGATATAAAGAATGTCGATGGTACATTAAATTAAAAAAATAAAGTAAAACAATAGGTATAGTGTGAACCTGCTTTTGTAAAGTGTGTAGACAGAAAAAAGTTGAACCTACTTTTGTAAAGTGTGAGTGTGTAGACAGAAAAAAGTTTTGATAAGTAGGTTCCTCCATGGAAACAATACAGGTGATTTTTTTCTATATTCATCTTCCTATTTAAATTTTTAAAATAATGAATTGTTTATAAAGTTTTTAAAATAGTATGTACTACTTTTCTTCATATTACTTTTATAGCCAAAATAAAACCAATTTTCATTACAAAGAGAAAAAAGTAGTATTACTGGGAAACATAATATTCTACGTATTTGTAAGTCAAACATGAGATACATGAACTGTATTTAAAGTGAATCGTAAGTACACTTAGGAATTTTTTTTTTTAGTGGTTCTGGGGTTTTGAATTCAGGGCTTCGCATTGGTTAGGCAGGTGCTCTACCACTTGAGTCTCACCTCCAGCCCCATTTTGTAATCTAGGTAAGATGGAGCGTGTGTGTTACTTTTCTTTTCCTTTTAAAGACAAAATCTGATTACGGAGCCCAGGTTGGCCTTGAGCTCCAGATCCTACTGCCTCTGCCTCCTGCGTGCTATGCCACGAGGAAGAAATGAACTACACTTTTTTTCTTTTTTTGTCATTTTTGCTACTGTCATAGGTGGCGATGCTGATTTCTCTTCTCTCCACAGACGCGAGCTATAAATGAGCCTTCCGTAGCAGCGCGCCACCGCACTTCCCAGCCTGCGGCCAGCAAGGTACGACTTCGGAATCCAGGGGCGCACCGCAGCGCGCGTTCCGGGCGTGGAGAAATTCGAGCTCTCGCGGGCGCAGGCGCTGGCGCTGACGCAGGCGCAGGCGCTGACGCAGGCGCAGGCGCAGGCGCAGACGCAGAAGCTGACGCAGGCGCAGACTCAGGCGCAGGCGTTCGGCCGCGTGCGCCGAAGGACGTTCGCGCCCGCGCGACGAACGGGCGGCGGCGTCTTGGTCCGCGATGGCTGAGGCGTCTCGGTGGCACCGAGGAGGTGAGGGTTCGCCTAGAGCGAGAGGTGGGGCGCAGTGGGCGTTTCGCGCACACACTCCCTTGTAGTCTGATTTACAGAAGTTTGAAAAGCGTGGTCTAAGGAGGCTGGAGCTGGCCCCGGTTACCAGCTGTGCAGTGACTGTCCCCCGACTGCTGGAAGGAGTCGCGGCCTTGGGCGGACCCAGCCAGCAGGGCCGCCGGAGGAATTTGTGTGTTTTGTATGTTGGTTTTCATTTTAAGACACGACTGGAGAGGAAACATCCATGTCATAAAAACCTGTTCGTATACAGTCATGAAATGGCTGTCCACTTACCCACAGGAAGATTTAGTAATTATCCCTGGCTCATAAAATTGGGAATTAAAAGAAACAAGCTGTGCGGGCTTTCCTTCACGCAGTGTGACAGCTCAAAGTGGTGATGGTGTTCCATCATTGTTACTTAGATACATTATAATTGTTTGGCCGGTGGGCCAAACACCCCATGGTGATCAGGAACTCTGCTCACTTTCCACTCCAACCCCTCCTTCCCTTCATGATTACCATGGCAACTCCTGCTGGCAGGCTATGGGTCTGACCCATATTACCCCGAACTCCTCCCCACCAAACCTCGACCTATCCCGATGCCCCATAATACCTTAAGCTCTTGACTTCACCCAGGATATAAAAACTGGGCTGCCATTTCTCCGGAGCGACTTCTCTGGCCCTGCTCTTTGGGGATGGTGAACCTCGCCCGAGAGCGCGCTCTCAATAAAGCCTGCTTAAAGCCTGCTTGCTTTATTATTTGGCTCCAATTTGGCCTTCCCATCAGCGTCGACCTAACAATAATTATATAGTAATGTAAAGAAATTTTTTGTTTTATATCTCACAGGGACTTCAAAACATCTGTATTACAGAAAGGAAATAGAAATTAGAACCACGCTTCAGGAGTTGTTGCTCTACTTTATTTTTTTAATAAACCTATGTATATGTAAGTACACGGATGTAGATAAGGATGTTGATTATTCTAGAAGTTAAAATATGGAGATAAAAATAAAGCATACAGACTTTATAGATCATATGTCGTCATACTACTAAAATTTCCCCAAAACAGTAACACATATTCCACCTCATTATCCTACGATTAACACTTATTTCCCGTTTTTAAGGGGCAAAACTTGAGGCCACAAATGTAACGAAAAGCTTCCTTCATCAACACTGAGTGAATATAATTATTCCTTTCATTTAGTAGATTTATTTGAAGCATAATCCCTTGGGTTGACAATTGTAATTTTATCTCTAGGAGCCATGTAGACATATTAGCTCAGTTTCATAAGTAAAGTACAAATGGGACCATACATAGAAATTCACCTGGTGAATTAGCTTTGTTCTTTTCACTGAGGTGTTGCACAGATAATAGTTAAATATGTTTGTGCTGAATCCATGCAGACCTTTAAGGAGAACTAGGAAAACCTTTGAAGCCAAAATCTGCTGTCTTGGGTCCATGGCATTGCCTTAATATGTGAAGGACATATTAAAGAGCATTTTATCTGTTAAGTGCCCAACATACAGTAGTTCTAAGCTCACTTGCAGGATTTCTCTCATGTCACCATTGCTACACATTGGCACTTGTGTTCCAGTGAACTAATTCATTGGTGTTGCAGGGGTTAAGTTTGAGTCAGGGCTAAATTAAAGACAGCGGTAACTAACTATAAATTAAAGTATCTTATGTTTATAGGAGCTTAGTTATAAAAATAACATGCTTATAGAACATTCAGAAGATGGAAAAATACAAGCAAAAGGATTGTTCATAATCCCACTGATCAGCGATATTTTAACACTTATAGTGAATTGAAAACAGCTTAAATGTCTACCTTAGTAAGGGAATTTAACATTGTGGTATATATAGTGAAATAAATGTAACTATTAAAGAATGGTATAGGTTCATATGTACCAGGGAATATTGAAGATACATGGTTACTTTAAGGGCTTCTGGAAAAAATTTAAGACATACTTAGTCTATTCTCTGAAATTCACAAACACCCCCCAAAAAGGAAGAAAGAAGTAACATTTTTTTAATTCTTAATATGTACCAAAGCATGAGGTTTTTGGGGGATGTGTGTGGTGGGGGGACTGGGGTTTGAACTCAGGGCTTCACACTTGCAAACAGGTACTCTTATCACTTGAGCCACACCTCCAGTCCATTTTACTGTAGTTATTTTGGAGATAAGAGTCTTGTGAACTATTTGCCTGGGTTGGACTTGAACCTTGATTCTCCCAATCTTATTCTCCCACATAGCTAAGATTACAGGCATAAACCAACAGCACTCTGCTCCAAAGCACATTTATTTTAAATGTTCTGTGTGCAACATGTTACCCCTCACAACAGAACAAAAAGTAGGAGATATCTCTACTACAATGGGGCTCAAACCCTTACCTGCTGAATTCAAAGATCATAGCTTCAGCCACTCACTGTACAATATTTCCTATTCTCACTATAGAGAAAAAAGCCAACATGAAGTATAGTGGATATGTTGTGACCTCACTTTCATAAAGAAATTTTTTTTATAAATGTGTGTGGAAAATGTCAAATTTTTTATGACCAACCCTAGTAATGGGATTATATGAAACTTCTTCCTGCTTTGTATATTTCTGTTTTAAATTCTTAATTATGACTTTATAATTAGGCAAAATAATAAGGTGGAATTTTCAAAACAATGGGGAATAAAACATAACATTTAATCCTGACAAACTGAGTAATTAAACATAAATTCTTACAAGAAATTCTTCTCCTTAGTGACTTTTGGGATGGTAAATCCACATACGTATTACTTAAACAAGGTTATGTCATCTCTGTTTCTGGACACTTCTGTACCTAATGATGAAAGAACCAACTTTAAGTCTATTCGCAGCATAACTGATTTTTGGAAGGTAAGGTATGTGACTGTGGTTGAAGTAGCTATTCCATAAACCCTTGCCACACCTAGTAAGAGCTCAGGGAATATTTGTTGAAGGAATGAGTAAAAATGAGTATCATTTCTTTAAATTATTAGAGTCAACCAACCCTTAGTGTTTATTGAGAGCCTGTATTCACAGTATGATACTATCTTACAGCTTTAAGTTTTTGATACTTTTCCAGACATTTCTCATTTCCTTTGGAAAATATAAGACTTGATTCTTAAGTGAGGATTAGGATCTAAAGTTAGTTTATAATTGTGTATAAAAAATACATATAAGTGACTCAGGACTTCAGTGCTTACAAAGCAGGTGCTCTACCACTTAAGCCACACCTCCAGTCCATTTTGCTCTAGTTATTTTGGAGATGAGGGTCTCGTGAACTATTTGCCCAGGCTGGCCTTGAACCTTGATCCACCCAATCTCAGCTTCCCAAGTAGTTAGGATTACAGGTGTGAGCTACTGGTGCCTGGCTAGCATGCAACTTGTACTATGTATGTTACAGTAGTTTACAGTATATAATAAGTATATAGAGAATATTGCAGTATTTTGAATTACAAAAGAGAAGCATTCTTACAGCGTTGAATAGACTTGGTTTTACCAGTACACATAACATAGGAATTCTTCCTATGAAGAAGAAAGAACAGTTAAGGGAACAGCAGTCTGAGATCCCATGACACGTGTGCATAAAGGACAAGACAGTTAGGAAGTGCTGTGCAGAAGTGATGACTGAAACTGAGTTTTAAAAGTATGAATAAGGGAAGTCATTCTAGGAATAAGGAACAATATGTACTATCCATGATTCTACATGTAGAGCTATGTTTGATTTGTAGGCATACAAAAGATAAAATAGAAAAGAGAAAATTATGATTGGACAATGGTCACAGCATGAATACCATGCTAGGAAATTAAAACCTACCAAGGACATAAAATCATTCCCTGAGAGGGAGAGGATGTGATGGTTAATTTTATCAACTCAGTTGGATTGAGAGGTGGGGTTAGGTTAGTAAAACATACCTCCAATGTGTCTGTGAAGGCATTTCCAGAAAGGATGAACTCTGGGACCTGGGTGGAATGAAAGTGAGGAAAGGAGAATGTCCTTTACAGCACAGGCATTCTCTTTCTGCTTCCTGGCAGCCATGATGAGAACTCTGTTCTGCCATGCCCATCACACTATGATGGATTGAAACCTCTGAAATCATGAGCTGAAATAAATCTTTCCTTCCCTTCAGATGTTTTGTCAAGTATTTTGTCAGTGATGAGAAAGTCTGACTAACAGGAATGAGATAAGGGCTAAAAGATCATAAGTCATTAGAATGACAGGAGAAGAATTGGAGCTCATCCTACCTCTCTTTTATTGTGCTGTCTTGAGACATGTACATGACCAATGGCAAAGACAACAAAGGAAGAGAAGAAAAAATGAACCCTGTATTTGTGATGATTTAGAATGAGCAGATAGACCGCCAGGAATAGCAGTTTCCATGGCCAGAGTTGGGGAAAGAAACAGGAAGGGTATAAACACATTTAGGGTAAAGTCAAGAGCTCTGATATTTACATATTGCAAGGCAATGTTCAATATACTCATAAGCAGGAGAGAAGAGGGTTGTGGGATTAAATTAGTTAATACTTATAATGTGCTTAGAGTAATGCCTAGTACAACTCTTGCTCAATAAGTATTCGCCAGTAGCAGCATTATTAATATTAAAGGTGTCTTGGACAGTAATTTTCATACAACCTCTTATACAAAATGTTATGAATACAGACTCTGTGGATATAAAAATATTTTTCCCATGACATTTATCTTTCGATACGAAGTTTATGGAAGGACCCCTTTTGGAAGGTTTATACTGGGACTCATGGTACAATAACCAGAAGCTGTATAATTTAAACAACAGCAGTCGCATCTATTATGAGAACATACTTTTGGGAGTTCCCAGAGTCCGACAACTAAAAGTCCGCAATAATACATGCAAGATCTATTCACCTTTTAAATCTTTGGTGAGTGAATGCTATGACAAATATACTTCGGAAAATGAAGACCTGTCTGATTTTGGCCTCAAACATGATACTGAGTAAGTAATATATAAAATTATGCAGTAACTTGTTCTAGCAGATACCATTGTATATTTTAAAAATTATAAAAATGTGTTAGTTTTCCAACTAACACAGGCTGTGGGCTGGCAGGCAGGTGACTCGGAGATAGCAGTGCTTAAAAAGAAGAGTGGGGCTGGAGGTGCGTGTGGCTCAAGCCTGCTTTGCAAAGCTTTCTTTGCAAGTGTGAATCCCTGAGTTCAAACCCCAGTTCCATCAAAAAAAAAAAAGGTTAATTAAGAGTGAGCCTTTTTTTTTTTTTTTCCGGGGTGGTGGAGGACTGGGAGGGTAGAGGGGTATTTTTTTGTTTTGTTATTGTTTGCTTACCTTAGGATACAAAGTTTTTTTTTCTGGCTATGGAATGTGAAATACTTAGTCATAGTGGATACAAGGCAGAACATCAGTTTTTGTTGTGCAGTAGTCACTTGGCTTTTCTGGCTCTGGCCAGATTCCCTCAAATTCACCCCGAAAATTTTGTGGGATCCTTAGGGAGCATCTTGGGTGTTCTTTCCATTTTCCTCCCTCTTTACTCTGGCTTACCTCAGTGATGTTTTCTGTGGCTATCACTACTAAAGTGGGCACTTGTGCTCTTCAGGCAACTGAATCTAATGATGCTTGCCAAAGATACTGTGGTCACCGTTCTCCAGAATGGCTGACTCCAAAGTTGGGGTAGACTCACATCTACACTCCATGTTGAAAATGTGGAAGCCCAAAGCCACTGGCACCGCCTTCCCTTGACAAAAATCTACTGGGATCAGTGCTGTTTACACTTTGTGCTTTTAGAGTCCTGTGAAATTGTAGGAGAAAGAGAATAAACCTTTTTTGTATTTAATGTTCTACTGAAGTGATATAGATATTTACAAAGTTCTTCCCGTTCCTACTCATAATTCTCACTCTCCAGAAAACAGCTACTCTTTGCTCTGTTATCACTCCTGGAACATACTTCTAGGATTTTTTTTTTTTTGGTGGTGGTACTGGAGTTTGAACTCAGGGCCTCACCCTTGCTGGACAGGCACTCTACCACTTGAGTCACTCCAACCCGCCCTACTTCCTGTTTTTATATAACATCCTCATACTGCTATTACTTGAATTTACAGTCTGTATATTTATTGTTTTCTATCATGGAACGTTGTCTGTTACGTAGTTCTTTTATGTCACCTCCTGTACACACACTTTAGGAAAAGTTCCTTGTAGCCTTTCATTATTAATTATACCATGATTATTTTCAATCATTGGTCAATAGTTTATATTATAAATATGAGTTATGTTTATATTTCTTCTCTTGAACAACCCCCTCTGACCCTCTAGGATTAATTGCTTTGTGGATTTGTTGACTTTTCTTCTTTTTTTATTTTTATTTTTTAGTATTATACTGAGGTTATATTGTAACATTTACATTGTGACATTCACCCCTCCTTTTATCCCTCCTACTTTTTTCTTCTTTATGTGTGTTTCCACATTCTTGAGAGCTTGTGTAATGCTTATAAATCTAATAAATTCGTAAGTATGATTGCACATTCTCTTAAATATTACAATACTGTTCACTCCCCTTTCAGCTCAAAATTATAAGATAAAAATAATTATTTAATTATAAATTTTAAATTAGAATTTTAAGACCTCTTACTTATTTTAATATTCTGAATTCTTATGACAAGTCCAAATACTTTAAATATCAAAATTCACATTATGGATGAGGTTTTTTATTATTCTGGCAGTACTGGAGTTTGAGCTCCAGGCCTCATGCTTGCATGGCAAGTGCTTTCTGCTTTGGTATTTTTTTATTTTTTTTATGCCCAAACTGGCTTGGATTGCAATCTTCCTATTTATGCTTCATATGTAGCTGGGATGACAGGCATGTGCCTCCATGCCCAGCTTTTATTGGTTAAAATGTGGTCTTGTGAAGTTTTTGCCCTGGCTAGCCTTGAACCCCAGTCCTCCCAATTTCCACCTCCCAAGTAGCTAGGATTATAGCTGTAAACTACCATGCTCAGCCTGGATTAGATTTAGTTTACTATGTTATGCTTAGCTAGAATTTCGAGTTTAATACCTATAATTCCTCCACAACCAAAATAAGAAATGATTTGCATGTTTATCTAAAGTGTAAAATTCATTAATTAAAAACATTGCATATTAAAAATTAGAAGCCAGGCAAGAGTGGGTATAACAAATTTTCCTATTTAACAGTCATATACCAAAAAACACTCAAAATTACAACTATGAAGCTGTAATTAAATTATAAGTACTTTTGGACTGGGGGTGTGACTCAAGTGTAGTGCCCTGCCTAGCAAGCACAGGGTCCTGAGTTCAAACCCCAATATCACAAAAAACTGTGTGTGTGTGTGTGTGTATGTGTATATGTATATATGTGTGTGTATGTATATATATGTATAGTGTTTTCTTAGTGGTATCACTTTCTCCCCTCCTGCTGAAAACATAGTGTATTAATAGAAAAACAAGTTTAAGCAGTAATCTTTGGTGGTACTAGGGTTTGAACTTAGGACCTTATGTTTGGTTGGCAGATACCCTACTACTTGAGCCACTCTGCCAGCCCCTAAGCTGAATACAGAGATTGAAAGGAGGAATCAAGGCTTCCTTCTTTTGACTATATTGTAATTAAGTTAGAAACCAAAAGAATGGGGAAATAAAATTTAGTTTTACACATTTTATATTGATTTGTGTGCTTTAATTAAAATAGCTATGTAACAATATAGACATTGTAACAAAGTTTTTACTTACTAGGCTTTTATAATGAAATATAACTTCTGTAAGATGAAGTATGAAGTACATTTTCCTTCATACTGACATAGATATTTCTGAATCAAAACCCTTGATACTATTTACTTATTTATTTGCAATGCTAGGATTGAACCAATGCCTTACATATGCTGGGCAACCACTGTACCACTAAGCCTCGTCCCCAACACTTTTTTTTTTCAGTGTGTTGCCCACAATAAGCACCAAAAAGTAAAAGCATATTAAATCTTAGTCCTTTTAAGTTAATATTTTAATTCATTGCCCTTCTTTAAAATTATTATTATACTTACGAAGTTTTTCTTTATTTTTAAGTACTGGGGTTGGAACTCAGGGCCTTGAGCTTGCTTGTCAAGTACTCTACCTCTTGAGCCACAGCCCTCATCCTTTTGCTTTTAGTTTGTTTTTAGATAGGATCTTGCTCTAACTTTACCCAGCCTGACCTCAAAACATGATCCTCCTACCTTTACCTCCTGAGTAGCAAAACTACTACTTTTGAACCAAAGGTTAAATTCTTAGAATATTTTTGAATTGGGCTTTTGCATCTCTCCATTATTCTTTTTATATCTAACAGATGGAAGTACTCCACTTCTAATACCAGCTCCCTTTGGCACTGGGGATTTGCTGGTGTTTACCGGAATGGGGGATATATTTTCACTTTGTCAAAATCAAAATCTGAAACCAAAACCAAGTTCACTGATCTTCAACTAAACAGCTGGATCACAAGAGGAACGAGAGTTGTATTTATTGATTTTTCATTATACAATGCTAATGTAAATCTGTTTTGCATCATCAGGTGAGTGACTCAAAACTTTTTTATTAGTATATTGAATTTAGAAGGCATTGGGAGTCCTTAGGGTTTCAAGTTTGTGCATGCTTATGCTGACTAAAATCATAAGCTATTATACTCTCTCTTCAACAGAATTAGAGATAAGGGCAAAATAGTTTCTGCCTGGAAGCGAGGGGGGTGAGGGGAAGAGGGAGGGGATAGGAGGGTTAAGGGAGGGGACGGCGGGGGGGGGGGAAGAGGGGAGAAATGACCCAAACATTGTATGCACATATGAATAAAATTTTAAAAAATCATAAGATATGAACATCACATTTATTTTTCATTACTTCACTACCTATTTAGGAACATGGAGAATCACTTATGTTAGTTTTATACTGCTTAAAGATGTATTGTGTTATTTCTTGTCACTCTGTAGTTGCGTAGACCTAACATGTAGTCTTGATAATTTCTTCCTATAGCCAAATCATTATAATCTGTTGGTTGCTTTTCAGAATGGACTTCTTTATTAAGTTATTCATATTTGTCTCAAGAATGAACTATTTAAATTTTGAACAAAATGAGTTGTAGCCAGTATCCTAGAAATGATTAGAGCCTGTGATATATTGCAAAAATGGACCCAGTTGTTTTTATGGGGTTTTTTTGGGGGGGAGGACTGGGATTTGAGCTGGGTGTCTCACTTGCAAAATAGATGCTTTACTGCTTGAGCCACAACTCCAGTCCAGAGATGGGACCTCATGAATTATTTGCCTGGACTGGCCTCAAACCTTGATCCTTCCAATTTCAGCCTCCCAAGTAGCTAGGATTACAGGCATGAGCCACTGGCACCCAGCCACCAATTTTTCATGTATTTGTCATGTAACCTGTCAGTGGCATGCCACCATGGGCAGGCAGGTTGCAGTGCTCCAGCCCTTGATGCTGGACTCAACCATGTGATTTGATTTGGTCAATGAAACGTTAGCAGATATGCTACAAGCAGAAGCTTGATATGAGTTTATACATTAGAACTTGCTCTTTTGTATTTCTATAGTTGCCATGAGAAGAATTTGTGTGGGCTGAGTTACTGGAACCCGGAGGGGAATGAGAGACATGTAAAGCAGAGCCATCTCAAAGAAGCATAGTGGGTCCAGCCCGATGGCACATAAACTGGCAAGCCTAGCTGAGATTAGTCTAGTCAAACCCAGCTGGGTCACCTGAGTTATGCAAGCACATAATCAGTATTTATGGTAAACTACTGCATTTGGGGGTGGCTTGTAATCTAATAAAAGCCAATTGATACAAGCCTAACTTGAATCTCAGCTCTTTACCTCTGAATCTGTTAGGAGGTTTTTGATTGTAGCAGAAAACCCCAAATGAAATGGACTTAAAAAATAAATTTACTTTAGTCATATAGCAGCAATTCCAGAATTAAGGCAAATACTTTTTGTAGTAAATTTAAAGGCCTGCCTCTATTTCTTTGACATGGTTTCAGTTTTGTCCTCCTCGGTGTCAGGTTTTTTTTTTTTATTCATATGTGCATACAATGTTTGGGTCATTTTCCCCCCCTTCCCCCACCCCTCCCTTACCCCCTCCCGTCCCCTCCCTCTCCCCCCACCCCCTCATTACCCAGCAGAAACTATTTTGCCCTTATCTCTAATTTTGTTGAAGAGAGAGTATAAGCAATATCAGTGTCAGTTTTATCTCAAGCTTCCCCAAGATGGTTGTCTATAAGCAGAATCTATGGTTATATGATGTTGATATCCATAAGGAGAGAGTAGCAACCAGAGAGGAAAAAAATTCCTTCCATTAGTCTGATTGGGCTACCTTAAGTCACCTCCCAACCTGGACCATGCTAACTAGTAGAACTGATAGGGTTCTCAAATCAAATACTGGCAAAGGAAATAGGATTACCACGATTAGATCTGCCTGAGGACTTAATCTGCTTCACCTATGTGATCTGGGGATGAGTGGGTACCTGATTACCATTAGGATTCTGATAAAAGGAAAGTATTGGGGGCTGGGGATGAGGTTCAAGTGGTAAAGCACTGCCTAGCATATGCAGGACCCTGAGCTCAAATCCCAGTACCACCAAAAAAAGGAAGGAAGGGTGGGTTAGAAGATAACTGCTAGAGAGGCGAACAACAGAGTCTACAAAAATGTCAGTGAGCCACATCTCATAAATCTTACTTTTTTTTTCTCGAACTGCAACACGGAATTGGAGTTTACTCAGACTAGCTAATTATGTAGTGGTGGCAGCAAAACATACCATAGCCTTTAAAGTTTATAAAAATGAATGAAACGAACTATCTTAAATAAATAACCAATGTACACGTTATATCTTTCATTTCAAAGTTCTTTTCTCTCAGGGAATCAGAGTTTTGTTTTGTTTTTTTGTTTTTTTACCAACATCACTCACCCCTCCCAATAAAAAGAAGAGAACAATCATTTCTATGTCATAAATAAGATTGGAAGCATTGGGGCAATAGCTTAAAGTCATATGAGGAATTTTTTGTGATAAGAAATTAAGTCCACAGTTCCTGTCTCTAAATTTTATGCTCATTCTGTTATCTTTTTTTTTTTTTTTTTGAGACAGGATCTCACTATGTAGCCTAGGTTGGCCTCAGTGGAATCCTCCTGCCTTCACCTCCCAAGTGCTGGAATTACAGACCTGTACCACTGGGCCAACTCTGTTACCTTTCACAATATTTTTTGAGACTTCAGATTGTCACATGCACGTGCACACACATACACACTGACATCCTCATCTCTCACCACATAATACCCCGCACAACTTGGGGCTCTGCTAACAAGAAGGCCGTTATTAGATGCAGTCCCTCAACCTTGGATCCCAGAGCCATGAGCCAAAATAAATCTCTTTATAACTGAAAAAAGAAAAGGAGAGAGAGGGAAAGGAGGGAGAGAGGAAGGAATCAGATTTTGAAACTGTTAATCGGCATATCTAATCAGTAGTTGTATGGAAGCATAAAGTCTACACTATGACATCAATTTGTTTTCCCTTTTGTACACATTAGGCAAGTTATCAGAGTTCTGAGTTTTTCCCCTTTTTATTCATTAGTCAGTACTTCAGACCATACTATATGTTCCTTTTACTTCACTTACTTATCCCACACTGAATATATACTATGTTCAAAATGTAATGGTTATAGTTGTCACTGAGGTTTTGTCTATTTTTGTTTTTTTGGGTTTTTTTGGCAGCACTTTATTCCAGAATCAATAAATGTTGCCAATATCTTTAGATAGGAATAACTGTGATAGAAATGCTAGTTCCTTAAATTACTGCCAATTCTTAATTATCTAAGATTGTGGAGAACACCAGAAATCCAGTGAACAACCTTTTCAAATTCAGTGTCAGAATTATAATTTTATTTGTATAGATCTTTGAATCTAACATTCAATGTCTAAAGTAAAAGAAAATATTTGTCTTAGTAGAATATGTGACTTTGGCATTTAGAAGTCATTTGTATCTCTGATAAGCTAATGGGGAAGGATGTATTTCCCTCCTTTGAAATACTCAAGAATTATATATTTGGAGGACAGCCTTAACTAATAACAGGACCTAAGCATGGCATTTTCTTAAACAATGTCTCATTCTCCTATGGAGATAAATTAGTATTTCCAGTTATGAACAAGAAGTCTGAACAAAAAATTGGATGAATATCTAACTAAAATTACATCTTTCTCATTTATATTTTTTGACCTCTGTGAATATTCAGGATATAGAAAAAGTTGAGCCAATAAGAAATAAGCAAATCCTGCCCAGCATGATTAAAGCCCTAGGTTCAGTACCCAGTACTGAAAACTAAAATTCTACTAGAAATTTTTTTAATTGAACTCATGACCCCGTGGAAACACATTTTGGACAAAATAAGTGATTATTGCTGGGTGTGGGGACACATAACCTGGGGACCTAACTACTTGGGAGGTGAAGGTAAGGAGAATGATGGTTCAAGACCAGTCCAGGCAAAATTAGGGAGAAACCCTATCTGAAAAAAGTGAAAGGACTAGTGGGTGTGGCTGTTTGCCTAGCAAGTGTAAGGCCCTAAGTTCAAAACCTCCATACCACCAAAATAAAAATTTATTATCATTAAAGTATACATCATCATTGACTAGAAAATTCACATTGAGTCAAGTAGTAAAAATACAAACATTTTAAAACTCATAAATACTTTCACAAACTTAATTTTATAGATTGGTGGCAGAATTCCCTGCAACTGGAGGAATACTTACTTCATGGCAATTTTACTCTGTGAAGCTCCTCAGATATGTTAGCTACTATGATTATTTTATTGCTTCTTGTGAAATCACATTTTGTATTTTTCTTTTTGTCTTCACAACACAAGAACTCAAAAAAATGAAAGAATTTAAGTTTGCCTATTTCAAAAGTGTCTGGAACTGGCTAGAATTACTACTTTTACTAGTGAGTATATTCATATAAACTGAATTTTCTATTCATCTAAGACTTATTTTGAAAGATATAAGTATCAAACATAAAATGAACTGTCATGCTGCATACTAATGGTGTGCTCTGAAGGTGAAAAGTCTGTTTTTTTCTGATTTGGTCCATGGCAGGGCCAGCAAAAACCCTATTCCTGCAGGAATAGGGGACTCCGTAAATATTATGATTTAATATACACAGTAGGTCTGCCTCCCAGTACTCAAAAAGTATATAGCTGTGGGATTCAGTGGTGAGTGCTGTAGTCCCAGGTACTTGAGAGGCTGAGGCAGTGGGATCACCTGAGTCATGGCCAGTCTGGGCAACTTATTGAGATTCTGCCCCACCTGAAAGCATCCCTTGACCCCTTCCCCACCAAAGCAAGAATTCCACTGGAAGAGTGGCTCAAGTGGTAGAGCGCCTGCCTCGCAAGTGTGAGGCCCTGGGTTCAAACCCCACTACCACCTCCCCCCAAAAAGTATTCTTTGACCATCATTGATCTTTCTGAGCAGTATTCTTGATAATGCAGCTTTCATAAATTCAAGCTGCCATACCAATAAAGAAATATAAATGTAATCCACTCTTCAATGTTGCCTAAATATACTTTCCTCCTCACACTAAAAAACTGAAGGTAGGGAAGGAGCTTGAACAACCAGAGGGTACCTTAGAAAGACAGAGGCATCAGAACTGGGAAAATAGTCCCTAAAAGAAATACCAAAGACTTTCAGTCCTAGTCACTGGAACCTACTAAAATAAACAGTTGTAGGCATGGCAAGACAAGTGTTAAGAGCTTGGTCTTAGAAACAGTCAATGAACAAATATTTGGGAGTTAATCTGATTTCTTACCCTGATTGAACCTTAGTTATATCCAATTCAGTATTTAACCTTTTTTCCTAAAACCAGATTGCCACATACTTCTTCAGTATCCAAAATAACATCTAACAAAGGGCAGAGCAGTAAATGTTTAACTCTCTGAGTATTTCAGGCAAGGGAAATGTCCATGACATTATGAAGCTCTGATACCTAAGATAACCTGGTTCTGAAATCGTCAAGGGTTGTTAAGCCTTTCTAAGAAGGTTTATTTTTTGTAATTGCAAATTCTTTTTTTTTTTTGGCAGTACTGGGCTTTGAATTTAGGGCCTACACCTTGAGCCACTCTGCCAGACCTTTTTTGTGTTAGGTATTTTTGAGACAGGGTCTCACAAAACTATTTGCCCCAGTTCTGGCAGTTCTGGTTTTGAACCACAATCCTCCTGACTTCTGTCTCCCGAGTAGCTAGGACTATAGTCATGAGCCACCTGCACCCAGCTGCAAATTCTTTGTTAGTATTACATGGTAGAAAATATTAAACTCTGGTCTGGAGGCATGACTCAAATGGGAGAGCACCTGCTTAGCAAGTGCACTGCCCTATCACTAAAAAAAAACAAAGGGAGGGAAGGAAAGAAAAAAAGAAGGGAGGGAGGGAGAGAGGAAGGGAAAGAAGAAAGGAAGATGAACTTTTTTCATGTGTTTCTTCATAGGCTACAAGAGATTTAAAGGTGAAATAGTCTCCACTTTAACCCTTTTTATTTTCCCATTTAGTTGTGTTTTATGGCTGTTTCCTTCTACATATACTGTAATTCGCAAATTTTTCTATTACTTGGACAGCTGTTGAAAAGTACTGAAAAATATCCAGACTTCTATTTTCTTGCATACTGGTCCATTTATTACAATAACATAATTGCTATTACTATCTTCTTTGCATGGATAAAGGTATTTACATTTATATTATATTTATTATATTATAACATATATATATAACATGTTAGCATAATAAAACTATGACTGTGAGGAGAAAAAAAGCATTTTCTCAACTATTAAGTGATTTTGAAAGTAGCTTGGCCTTGTAATTATTGCTGGCAATCCTCAAACACCTTTGATTATCATTAAGTACCCCCTTTAATTTGAAGCCAAAGTCTTCTGAAATTAACTAAGTAATTCTAATCTTTGGTATACTGATATTTCAATTAAATTTGTTCTTTTGCAGATATTCAAATTTATAAGCTTTAATAAGACAATGTCTCAGCTATCATCAACCTTGTCCCGCTGTATGAAAGACATAGTAGGATTTGCCATCATGTTTTTTATAATATTCTTTGCTTATGCCCAGTTAGGATTTCTTGTTTTTGGATCACAGGTTGACGACTTCTCCACTTTTCAAAATTCCGTGTAAGTTTGTAGGGTAAATGTAATTAATGATACTTTAAATTTTTCTAATAAAAGTCATGGACATGCCTATGATAAATATGTAACATAAGCTTAATTATGTTAAACATAAGTTTAATTAATTTAAACTTGACTCAATATTTTCATTGAAAGCTAGGTATCTGTCATATTGAAAGTAAGGCTTGGCATCAAAGGATCCAAATGGATGGTGGTATCCATCTTTTGAGTGTTACTGGGGCAAGTTAGAAAAGTCATTTCTCATTTTTTATTGGGAGTGAGAAATAACACTGAAGATAATAGAAATTGGCTTCCATGTTTCTGTAGCATTCATTTTCTAGGCAAAAGACATCATAAGTTTCACTAGATTTTTAGGAAACTGTCTAAAGAAATGTCTGAAGTTTCCTCTTTTTTCCATCCACATGTAAATAATTGAAGTAAAATGTATAAAATTTATAACACTTTTCTGAACTAACCCTTTAATTAACCAGTAGTAGGACAAAGAATAGATTGGGAACCAAAAAGATGTTATTCCAGTTCTGCCATTAGCTAAATTTTCGAGACTTTAATTTCATTTGTATAATGAAGGGACTGAACTAATGTACCCCAAGAGCCCTTCCAATTTCAAATGGCTAAGTTTGAAAAGTCTAATAGCTTACCCTGAGTAATGTTTGCATTTTCAGCAACTTCTTTATCCATTTCTAGGATCTTGTTTATTTTAAGTGTTACCTAATAACAAAACTTGGTAACAACAGAACCTTGGAAACTGGTCCTGGGTAGTAGGGAGGAAAGCAGTGTAAGGCACAAAAATAACCACACAGAGAACTTTGAAATGGGTTAATAAGGTAGCTTCTGCTTTTGGTAATGATAGTCCACCTCCTCTTGGGAACAGTTTAAAAAGCTGAATGAAATGTGAAAAACATTGAAAATTAGCAAGAAAGTGAGTAATAACTAGGACCAAATCAGAAATCAAGAACCTAGAGAAGACCAGCACCCAGAGATACTTGCCCTGAAGAATTTTTCCCTGTCTCAGTGTTATTATTTTGTGATGCTGGGGTTTGAACTCAAGGTCTACACCTTGAGCCACCCCACCAGCCCTTTTTTGTGATGGGTTTTTTCAAGATAGGTTGTGGTTTTGAACTTCGATCCTTCTGATCTCTGCCTCCTGAGTAGCTAGGATTATAAACTTGAGCCACCAGCACCTGGCTATTGTTATTATTATTAACAGATATTAATCATACAAATGAATGGCGTTCAATTTGATATTTCCATACACACATACATCATGCATTTGTCATGTCCATCTACCCTTCTGTCTCTCTCCCTTTTACCCTTTCTCCCCCCTCCTCTCCCTTCCCTACCTCTCTGGTCCCCTTCACAGTCCCTAGTAATTTCTCTTCTACTTTCAGGTCATCCTAGTTTTCTTCCTTAAGTTTCTACATGTAAGAGAAAACATGTTTGACTTTCTGTGTCTCTGGCTTATTTTACTTAACATTATGTCCTCCAGTTCCATCCATTTTCCTACAAATGCTAGGATTTCATTCTTCCTTTTGGCTGAATAATACTCCATTGTGTAAATATACCATATTTTTGTAATTTATCTGTTGACAAGCTACTAGGCTGATTCCATATCTTGGCTTTTGTAAATGGCGCCACCTGTATCAGAGTATCTCTTTTTGTTTTGAGACAGGATCTTACTATGCAGCCCAGGCTGTCCTCAAACTTGAGGTATTCCTACCTCAGCCTCCAAAGTGCTTAGATTACATGCATGTACCACCACACCCAGCTGACTTCATTTGGTTATATACCCAGGAGTGTATAGCTAGATCATAATGATAGTTCTAATTTTAGCTTCCTGAGGAACCTCCACACTGCTTTCCATAGTAGCTAGACTAATTTACATTACATCAATAGTGTATAAAGGTTCCTTTTTCTTCACATCCTTGCTAGCATTTGTTTTGTTTTGGCTTTTTGTTTGGTAATATTCATCTGACTAGAGTGATATGGAATCTCAATGTAGTTTTGATTTGCATTTCCTTGATGTCTAGAGATGTAAAGCATTTTTTTCAAATATTTATTGGCCATTTGTACTTATTTTGAGAAGTGTCTGTTCACATCATTTGCCCATTTGGGGACTGGATTACTTGTTCTTGTCATATTTTCTGAGTTCTGTTTGGATGATATCTCTTTTGCTTTTATGTAAGCAGCTTTCTCCTAATGGTGTGTGTTGGAGTCACAGTTGCTGTGTAATGTTGTGTTTATTTTCACCAAGACTTCATAGTGTAATCTCTCTGTAGATTCTTTGGCTGTGAGTAGTGAATTTGGGCACAGTGTATACCATATCAAAGAGACCAGAATCTCCAGACTGTCCCTACTCCTGTGAGACCTGCAGAGGAAATTCAGACAGGTATGGTGTAGGTAGCCGAGTGTGTGCACCCTCTGTGGCTACTCCTACAATGGAAGTCATAGTGTCTATCAGGTGATTGGAGTTTCCCAGCACTGTTTATACTGACTTTGTTACTTGAAAGAAGTCATAGTGAAGATCCTGAAGCACTTGTCCTCTGATTTAGACACTGGTGCCCCCTTTCTGTGGCACTCAAAATCCAGTCTTGTTAGCAGTGTGTAGTCTGACAAGGTTCTGATGCAACCAATGTAGAGGACCTGTATAGGTGTGTTTCCAGCAAAAGTTGTGTTATTTTTCTTTATTCTATGGAGCAGGACATCAGATTCTCTCCCCACCCACAGGTTGTGCCCACCTAGGGATGGGTTGATGGCTGGGAGCTTTTGTCCCCCATTCTTTAAGGTGTCAGTTGGGGGTATCAGTAGGATTGGGTCATGGCTGGAGGTGGGCACAATTCCTCTAGGCTGGACTGGATCTGTAGCTCAGAGGCCAAGCACCATTTATTGTGTGTGAGGACCTAGGCTTGATGACCACATGACAATAATATTGATAAATATAATAAAACAGCAACAGAAGAGAAAAAAGAAAATTCCTCCCAGGTGAGGCTCTTCGAGGAGCAAACAAGGGTATATGATTGTGTCCATGCTGAGTAAAGCTTCTATCTTCTTAGGCTGTGCACACTAGGGTCTGACAAAGTTTGGGGTTCACCTACGGAGGACCCACATACATGTGGTTTCAGCAAAAGTTGGCAGGGGTTTTTCTTCCCCATTCTTTCAGTTGTACTCACCAGGTATAAGTGGGAATGAGTCGTGGCTGAAACTAATTGGAATTCCTCTCAGCTGAGTTGCTTACTGAGCTAGGCAGCACCAGGTGCGCACGTGTGTGTGTGGTGTGTGTGTGTGTGGTGTGTGTGTGTGTGGTGTGTGTGTGTGTGTGTGTGTGTGTGTGTGTGTGTGGTGTGTGTGTGTGTGGTGTGTGGTGTGTGTGTGTGGTGTGTGTGTGTGTGTGTGTGTGTGTGTGTGTGTGTGTGTGTGGTGTGTGTGTGGTGTGTGTGTGTGTGTGTGTGTGTGTGTGTGTGTGTGTGGTGTGTGTGTGTGTGGTGTGTGTGTGTGTGTGTGGTGTGTGTGTGTGGTGTGTGTGTGTGTGTGTGTGTGGTGTGTATGTGTGTGTGTGTGGTGTGTGTGTGTGGTGTGTGTGTGTGTGTGGTGTGTGTGGTGTGTGGTATGTGTGTGGTGTGTATGTGTGTGGGTGTGTGTGTGTGTGTGTGTGTGTGTGTGTGTGTGGTGGAACCCAGGGCCTCAACCTCACTGAGCTAAATAAGGCCCCAGGCCTCAAGCATAGATTCTAGAGCTCCTTAGACTGCTCGCCCTGTGGGCAAGACAAAAGCTAGAGTTGCGTGGGTCCCAGACATCTCTGAGGGCTGGGTCAGCGGATTGGCCATGGAACCACAAGTTTTGTGCTGGAAGGTGGGGCAGCACAAATTCCCAAAACTCAGATTCTAGAGGGCAGCAGCCTGTGCTCCTGCAGCCATGTTCCCCACAGTGTAGAACCCTCCTCGGCAGGTTTGTGTTGGAGTGCCTCCCCTAAGCCAAACTGTCCTGTGAGGCAAACACCTGCTGAGGCAGTGCTGTGGAATGCCAGCTGGGTTCCAGAGATGGGAATATGCAGTGGTTTCTGACTCCCAGAGCAGTAGAAACTCAGCTAATAGGTCATTTCTCAAGATGGCTTCCAGATACTGGAGTTAGCTGGCAGATGCGAAGAACACCTTTGCTAATGCCAGCCTGCTGTGTGGACCCCAGGTCTCTTATCTTTCTGCAAGGTGCCAGCTCTGTGCTGACAGAGCTCAATGAAACTCTGTCTTTCACCTTTACCCCCAAGTGGGGAGACACCGCCTCCCCTTGCTGTGGAGAGGGCAACAGATGCCAGAACTCTGTTTCTCTCTATGCTACTATCCCAAGACTGGATTTCATCAGGTCTCCATCTTCCTGCTGTTGAATTCTGTGCTCGCCCACTGCCATTCACCTCAGTGCACACTTAAACAAGGAGGAGCAGATCAGTGCTGCTGCTTCTGTTTGTCTGACTTGCCCTCTCACCATATCCTTTGTTGATTTTTGCTTTTAAATTTATTATGGGAAAATAAATATGACAAAATTTGCTACTTCAATTATTTCTAAGTACACAGTTCAGTGATATTAAGTACATTAGTATCTCCAGAACTCTTTGGAAAACTGAATTTATATTCCCATTAAACAACAACTTCTCTTTCCCCAGCCCCTTTGCATTTTTTGTCTCTGTGATTTTGATTACATTAGGTACGTCATTTAAGTGGAATCATGTAATATTTGTCTTTTTGTTCCTTACAAAAGTTGAGTGATATTCCACTGTATGTATATATCACATTGTGTTTACGTAGTCATCTGTTGATGGAATTCTAGAACTGAAAATTATAGTAACAGATTATTTGATGGGAAATAAGATATAGCTGAAGAGAGAATGAAAATAAGTCAGAAGAAATTATTAAAAATGTGACAAAGAGACAAAATTTAGGAAAAAGGTATGAGATCCAAAGCATAGAATAAGAAAGCCTAACACAGTTAATCTGAAGAAGGCAGAGAGTGGAATACAGGCAATATTTGGAGACGGTTTAAGAATAGCTTCTACTAAGCTGGACACTGTGGCTCACACCTGTAATCTTAGCTACTTGGGAGGCAGACAGCAGGAGGATCATGGTTTGAAGCCAGCCAAGGCAAATAGTTTATGAGACCCTATTTCGAAAATACCCAACATGAAATGGGGAGGAGCTGTAGAATGGCTCAGGTGATAGAGCACCTACCTAACAAGCATAGGGGCCTGGAGTTCAAACCCCAGTACTGCAAAAAAAAAAAAAGCTACTACTAAATCAATGCTTCCAAGACAGAGACTGGAAAGAAATATGACAAATGGCACACTATTATTGAAGTCTGTTATTTTAATTTAATAAGAAAGAACTCAAAAATTAGCAAGGGTATCAAGAAGTTACTATTTTCACTCAATTAACCCTGTATGTGTAGGAATCATTTGTATCTTTTAGCTTGCAAAAAAAGGGGAAAAAAATGAATAAACTAAGTGCTAATCAAGAGGACAAAGTGGGCAATTACAATGTATTTGGACACTCCAGTTCCTGTATCATTACTAAGCATTTGGTAAATTGGCCAGGTTTTTATTACTCTCCCTATTATTTACAGAGCAAAGGTATCTGAACACTTTCCTAATTCAGAATGGCTGAATGGAAACTTTAGTTACCTGGCTAGCTTCTGGAGAGGATAAAAGAATTTATATTTATATTTACATCTTTTCTTACATAAACACAACTCAAGGCTTAAAAAAATAAAAGTTAGAAATGCTGATATAGATTCTATATAATAATTCTATATAACAATGCTGATATAGGTTCTATATAATAGAACCTCTTATTCTTCTATACAAGAAAAAAAATTCAATTTGTGGTGAGACTGGTCTCCTTCCATCTTCTGTAGAAGAGCATTACATACCAGTATTAAAAGCATGGTTTGGTAGGTCTTAGCTACATACTGGAAATGAAGTTCCAGACAACTCTTAAGAACTCTAGTTAGCCTTTTTATTTGAATGCATTTTCTTCTGTCATTGTACATAGCCCTCTACTCCTTTTATTGAATGGCAAAAGCAACTAGGGGCAAGAAACTATCCTTTTGACTGACTGAACAATCATGCAGCATGCCAATATACTATTAGAAGTTTTTTTCCCAGGTATGCCCTTAAATAACACACATGATTTATAAGTAGTATCTCTGATGCCATTGCAAATTAATGTAAGAAAAGAAGATTTCAGGTTAAGAAATTCTAATTTACTTCTGCTACCACTATTGTTTAATGCCTTAACTTTGTATCTTTATTTCCATCTTTGAAATTACAGAAATAAAGGTTTATAATATTATAAATGGTATTTCACATCAAAACCAAGCCATTATAATTATTAAAGAGAATAAAGTCTACCTCGGAATAAAACTACCTTCCTTGAGGATCATTACCCCAGCACTTATTTGACACTAGCAAGTAACAAATTATTGGAAACCCTATTTTAACAAAAATTGAGGTAGTTAAGACAAAAACTATACACATCATTGACAATATAAAGTTTAGGGATCTTGGGTCTAGGTACAAGTTGAAAACTCACTTGTTGCACAAAGTCAAGTATTCTAGGTTTTAAAAGGCTACAGGAATGGCTAAGGAAGCCACTGACAAAACCAGTTTTTAAAGAGACATCACAAGGTTCATATGTTGTATGGGGAACATTGAATTCATATTGATTAAATAAATTGAAGCCTGTCATTTCCTAAACTACCTATTCAGCTGTTAGGGAACTTTTCTGCATTGTTTTATAGAATTCTGTTGTTAAAAGCAAAGAGTGCATGCCATATGTAGCTAGATACTTCCTTAGAAGACATTTAGAAACTCCTAACAGTTGTCATGTATATACACAAAGAATATATTTTAATATTTATCTTTCTTCTTGCCAAAGATTTGCACAATTTCGAATTGTTCTTGGAGATTTTAATTTTGCTGGTATCCAGCAAGCCAACTGGATCTTGGGACCCATTTACTTCATCACTTTCATCTTTTTTGTATTCTTTGTCCTGCTGGTAAGAGTGACCATATATTCTACCACCCACTCATTCCTGGTTTTGCTTCAACATTTTTAAATAATGAAATTGTTCATGTAGAAGAAATTGCAGTATTATTGCTTACCTGTCAGAGCATGGACCAAAATGGCATGAATCCTGGCAATCAAGGCTCTTTCTAGTCCAATGACTACTGATGTTTACAAGTTGTCCAGTGGGGAATAGGGTCACCCATAGTTAACATCTATGTGTTTGTTTTAGCTGAATGTGCTAAATCCTTTACATAAATAACTTGAATGCCTCAGGTCTGAACAGGCTGGAACAATCCATACTAGGAGGAATGAATTAAATCATTAACATTCTGCCCATATTTCAGTGGTTTTTGGCTCTTCTGGCTGAGCTTACATTAGTAAGATCATCAATTTAAGAAACTTCATAGAACTTAAAAAATAAACACCCTTATGAACATATAATTACATTATTCTAAGTTTCCTTCTCATGTGTAATGTTGGAATTAAGAACTAGTTCACATGAAATATTCTACATTCTGCTTTTTTCATTTACCATAAACATATATGCTCAAATCCACAAATTATACATTTTCCATTCTGCTCTGTTGTAGCCACTTGCCTACCATGAAACATGAGTTACTGTTAAAATTCTAGTTTTACAAACTCTAGCAATTTTTAGTCATTAACTTTTTTTCTTTTTTTGAGATGAGGTCTTGCTATGTGGCCTAGGCTGGTCTTAGCTTGTGGATTCAAGTGATTCTTTTGCCTCAGACTCTTAAGTAGTTGGCACTTGATACCATGCACAGCCCCAGGGTCGCTAGCATTTAAACTAAATTCTTTTGTGGTGATGGAGATCTGATCCAGGGCCTCCAGCATTCTAGGCCAGCACTGTACCACTGGGCTATAGCGCCAGCCCTGAACTTTTACTGTAATAATAATTGAATATTTTTCCCCAGAACATGTTCTTGGCAATAATTAATGATACCTATTCTGAAGTGAAAGCTGATTATGCAATAGGCAGAAAGCCAGATTTTGAACTCGGTAAAATGATTAAAAAGGTAAGTCAAATTCTTTTCCCACCTATAGTCCTAGGAAAACTATTCAGTTAATACTCTGTTAAGTCAATTAACTTAAACCCCCAAGTGGTGGTTGTTTTTTCCTTGTTGCTGGGTCTTGTTTTTGTTTCTTAGTCCAGAGTTACTTCTATTTGTGTTATTTCACTACTAGGGAAGGAAAATATGCTCTCTGGCTTTAAAAAAAAATGTAGCCAAAATTATGTCAGCTCCACAATCAAATAAATAGCAATAAGGTTATTTACTGAATGCAGAGCATTTGACTACTTTTACCTCCCAGAAGTTTTCGATTTAGATGCTGGTAAATTTCTGTAAACAATCTGAATTCAGCATTCTATGCCTTGTCTTCCTCACTTAAGGCAGTATTCTCAATCACCCCTAGATCAAAAATGCTGGAAAGATTTTTTATTTTCTTGACCCTTATATAGTGTGTCGTCAAGGCCTGCACATAGTTTCCCTCTTCAGAACTTGCTCACACTTATGGAACTTCAAAGACCCCTTGAATTCTCCCTGCCCCACTGGATTAGGGCTTTCAGTAAATTTCACCTGGCCTTGCATGTGGTAAGTCTTAACTGTTCTAGCTTCTTCCCGTGCTGTTCCGATTCTGAGCCTATCACCTCCCTGGACCTGTTAAAGTAAGACTATAGTGTTTCTACCTTTTTTGCCTTTATTTGTAAACCGTATGTCCCAGTTAATGTGTTTTGAGCATTGTGTCATACACCGTGTTTATTCTCATTCTGTCCTGGGGGCCTCTGCTCATCAGGGAGTGCCCTTACCTATGATGAACTCTCACAGCTCCTCTCTTTTGCTCCCATTCTGCTTTCCTTGACAGATCTGCCCCTCCTTTCAACATCCACCTAACTTTGAATTGTAGCAGAGTCATGTGTGTCCTGGTCTCACCTTGCCTACCAGCGTGACCACCACTGCATGCCCCTTGGGTCTAAGCACAGCATTTCACAGAGGAAAAGTGCTAGCTCTTGTGGCATTAGTGAGACTTAAGAACTTATCCGTAAAAACAAAAACAAAAAACCTATAATCTTTCCATTTTTCATCTTTCATCTTGTGTATGAGGTTGTTGGTTATATGCATTAAAAGAGTTAACATTCTTGCCAGGCAATGGTGGCTCACGCCTGTAGTCCTAGCTACCCAGGAGACAGAGATCAGGAGGACTGCAGTTCGAAGCCAGCCAGGGCAAATAGTTCTCAGGACCTTGTCTTGAAAAAACTCACCACACAAAAAAAGGGCTGGTAGATTGGCTGAAGGTGTAGGTCCTGAGTTCAAGCCCCAGAACCACACACACACACACACACACACAAAAGTGTTAACATTCTTAATGCAGTATATCTTACTACTTTTTAAAAATTTTTTGGAGCCAAGTGGGGTGGAACATCCTTGTAATCCGAGCTGGTCAGGAGGCAGAGAAAGGAGGATCATGGTTTGAACTGTACCAGAATAAAAAGTTAGTGAGACCCTATCTCAAAAAGTAAGCTGGGGCCAGATGTAGTGATACACATCTGTAATCACAGCTATAAGAAGAAGTAGGAAAATCAAGGTCCCAGACCAGCCCAGTCAAAAGCACACGACCCTGTCCAAAAAATAAAGCAAAAAGGGCTGGGGGAATGGCTCAAGTGGTACAGCACTTGCTTAGCAAGCGCAAGGCCCTGAGTTTAAACCTCAGTACCACCACCAAAAAAAAGAAAGAAAATTATTTTCGTTTTTAAATTCAAGTGTGATGCCCGAAGAGAACCCTCTTTGCTTTTTCACAAAGGCAGAATCCACAGATGGAGGCAAGGGGAGAGGCTATCATGGCATTTAACCTCACACTTCTTTAGGGCAACAGTCCCCGAAACAAACATTCATTTCCCTTGACCAGATGCTAATGATACAGGATATATTTTGATGAATTTTTCAAACTCTCTTTGATTGTGCTCAGAGTTACCATAATGCTCTAGAGAAACTCAAGCTGAGGAAACCTCAAAAAGATGAAGACAAGAACATGTAAGATGACTTCTCAGATTTTCAATTTGTTATTTTAAAGTTCTGCACAGATGTTCCTCAGTGTCTGATGGGGTCACATCCCTATAAACCTACTATAAGTCAAAAATGGATGTAGTATATTGAACCTACTGAACATCGTAGCTAAGGCTGTGTCCTAAATATGCACAGGACGCTTACATTAGCCTACACTGGACAAAACTCCCCAATGCAGTCTGCTGTACAATAGAGTACTGAGAAGCATGTAATTTATTGACTTCCTGTACCAAAAACCCGGGCAGCACAGAACACTGCAGAATATCACTTGTTCCCCCTCATGACTGCATGGTGACCAGGAGCTATGGCTCACTGCCACCATCCGTCATCGTCAGAATGTATCTTGGGAAAAGATCATATGGTTTCTAATGAATGGGTATCACTTTTGCTTCATTGTAAGACAACAGTAAGGTGAACAATGGTTAAGTCAGGAAACACATGTATTTGAGGAGAAAATTATAGTGAGACTTAAAATTTTGATTGCAAGACCACCACTAACCAATATGGTTGCTGTATGGTTGCAGACATACATTGCGGTAGTGTCTGAGGATGTCATGAAACACTAAGCGAACTTAAAATTAATATAGGGTTGGCATGTAGCTCAGTGGTAGAGCACTTGCCTAGCACCCATGAGGTTCTGGATTCAAGCCCCAATGCTGCTAAAAATAAACACATAATATATAATGCATGCCATGCCACACAGAAAAAGCTGTAATAGAAGCTGGGAGAGTAAAGTCCTTCTAAAAAGGTAGAAAACTGGTCTATGTTAAGTGCATTTATTTAGCTATCAAAATATTTTACACACAGTACTTAATCTGAATAATACTTATACTTGTACTTAACATGTACATTTATTGGTTAGTGTCAAAATGTTTCCCAAACACAAACTTCTGCCCAAAAAAGTGAACTTTTTTTTAACAGCTTAAGACATGTGACACTCATAACTTATTAATGCTCACATTTTCTAAACATTTGTCATCAGAAAGGACAGCATTTACCACAGCTCTGACTTATGGTGGCACTTCTCTTTTTATTGATGCTTGATTTCTATTTTATATTCCCACTAGCAGAACCACTGGAGATTTAGCTGAACAAACCAGAAGAGAAGGCTTTGATGAAAATGTAAGAATTTAATTTTTTCATAAACACAAGTGGTAACTGTACTAGAAATCTGCTTACAAAGAAGTTCTATTAATAATTTGCTTTATTTAGAGAAATAGCTGTCACCTCCTAATAAATCTCCAAGAATGGAGGTCCTTCTTATTTGGATTTTGGATGCACCACTGGGCTCCAGGTGCTTCCTCTCTCCTTGGTGCTCTCAGCCAGACTCCTGGTTCTCCAGGTGTGCACTCACTGTGGACTTACCACACAGGCTATGCACAGTGAGTGCACTCTACTGAGCATTTTGATATAACAAATAATGATTTTATTTTTTCTATTTCAAATTTCAATACAGATTCAACAAATGAAACAAGGAATATGTACATATATATGTGGATTCCTTAGACAGATACCCTGCATTCAATTAAAAAAGAAAATTAGATCATTGCTCTGCTTGTGGTCACCTCCCCACAACAAATAAATAAATAAGCAAGCAAGCAAGCTTGGGGAGGCAACAGGGTTGGGAGTCTGGAATGGGCAAGCAAGTAGACACAGTGAGGTTTCTAATGTTAGGGAAGGGAGTTACAAAACATGGGAAAGCTAATTGTTAAAATGGACTTTGTGGCATTGGATTAGAATTGTAGATGTGGGTGCATGTATGTGTACATATGCACATCCATGTATTTTCTAGCTCTGCTCATTGACAGGGCTGGAGGAAATGACTCCCCAGAACCAGTGAGCAAAACAGGTACCCAGATCTTGGTTTCCATATACTGTTCTCCTCTAAGAGGAACCTAAGCTCCTTAGAGATAGGACTGATTCCAGCACTGGCAGTATAAGGTGGCCTGAAATGTCTTGCTGGGCAGACATTAAGAATGATGGAGATCTGTTAAAAGGACCCAAGAGCCAGTTTAGACAAATAGTGAACACTGATTTTTATTGATACCACTGAAATAAAATAGGATTTCATGAGTGCATACTGATCTAAACATACAAATGAATAAAAGTCTGATGAGGAATGAGAAATTTACATACCTTGCCACAAAATGCTCATTAAAAAATAAAAACAGTAATACTGGGGTGAAGTCTCACTGGTAGTACCTTAAGAAATCAACATGACCATCAGTACTGGAACAAACCTGAATTAGATGCCATGAATACAGCATCCCTTCAATAAAGGCAAAACGCATATATATATATATTATGTAAGAAATTACAATGAGGGAAATAATCAAAAAAAAATAAAATACATCACTAAGACATCTTGTATAACTATGAGAATAGCTTTTGAAATACTGAATGAAATGGATAGTTTTTATATGACGATAAGATTTATCAGAACTGAGCCAAGAGATAAAGCCTAAAAAAACTATTCTGTAGAAGAAATAGTCATTAAACAGCTACCTCCAAAACTAATCAGATGGCTTAACAAAATTCTACAAGATTTTAAGAAAAATGATTTTAAGCTACTTAAGCCATTCAGAGCAAAGAAAAGTTGAAACTTCATTATTTTTATAAACTGACTACAAAACTCACAATTCTTAAAACAAAAAGATCTAAATATTAGCAAGTAAAATACAAGAGTAAACAATAATATATACTAGTATACAATAATACACCATAATTCAGATAGGGTTTATCCTACAAATTAAAGTATGGTTCAAAATTGGTTAATCAACATATTAACAATTCATTGTATTAAAAGAGCAAAATTACATGATTATTTTCTACATTTGCTGGGTATTTGGTAAGTTTCAACACTCTGTCTTGTAGGGGAAAACAATAAAGATAATTAATGCTTTCTTGATACAATAAAAACAATCTCATCCCCTAAAGCCCTACTTGTAGGAATATACCAGACATGTCAGGGAGAAGACAATGATATATTGGAGAGGTCAGTTGAAATGATTAGGTAAGAAATGCATTAAAGGTCTGAGTCAGAGGACGAGATAAAACTGCCTCTGAAATATGATTCTAATTTTCTAGCTAATGATGAACCAAAAAATTACAACAAAAGAGAATTAGGTAGTGTCTTGCCTTATAATAAGATGTGTGGTGTTTCCATTATCTTGAGTTATGGACATGGAAATATTAAAAGGCATCCCCAGAGAATCCCCTGGATTCCAAACACAGCCCTCTGTCTGCCAGTCTCATCACAGTCATGTGATTTCTCTTGGTAATTGAGATTGATCACCTTAGTTGACAACCACTCTTTGGTCCGCTCAGGTCCTGTAGCACAAAGAATGCCAAGTGGCCAGGCAGTAGGCTCAAATTCTTAGGTGGATCGCACCCCTGGTGGATGCATGCTGTCTGTGAGGCTCTGTCTCTTTGGACCTCTCCCCACTATTCTGTATCCATCAGTTAGGGTTCAGTCAGAAAAAAACAAAAATCAAGTGGGTCATGGTAGTAGTTCAAAAAGAGGGGGTTGTATTGACGATTTGTCTCCAAGATACTAGAGGACTTTACAGGTCAATGTGAGCACTTTGGCCATTCAGGAACAAGGTCGTATGGGGAAGAGGTGAGCGAAGCCTAGGAGTTGGGAGACCTAAGATTCCCTAATAAGGGGCTGTCTGCCAGTGAGGAAAAATGTCACTTTCTATGGCAAGAAAGGCGTCACAGAAAAAGTGACGGCTGAGATGGCTTGTTTGAAGGATGGGTCAAGTCTCTATGCTTAGTCTTCAGCTCCTACTACGAATGCATCTACATTATAGTCAGTCTTGTCATTTAGAAAGTTTCAGAGCCTACCACTTTAATACCACATCAACAAAACTTGGAGGCTTTAGTATGTCTAAAATAAAATTACAAAGATTGAAAGCCATCCTCTTGCATCAGGGATGTTGGTTAAACAGACACTATCTGATTAACAGGTTTCCCTGGCCAGAACAAATACAGTGTATGTATCAAGCAAACACAGAGAAAATAAAAACAGGCTTGGTGGCTCTGACCTGTAATCCTAGTTGCTTGGGAGGTACTTGACCACGGTTCAAGGCCAAACCTAGGCAGAAAGTTGGTGAGATCCCCATCTCAACCAAGAAGCTGAGTGTGGTGGTAAAAACCTATTATCCCAGCTACATGGAAGACAAAAGTAAGAGGATCTCACCCCAAGGCTTGCCAGGCCAGGAGGGGGAAAAAAAACACAAGACCCTATCTGAAAAATAACTAAAACAAAAAAGGATTGGGATGATGGCTTGTGTTAGAGCACTTGCCTCGCACGCATAAAGCAGAGTTTAAACCCCCGTACCGTCAAAAAAATGAATAAATAAAAACAATGTCTTTGTTGGTAACGGGGTAGGGAGGGTTGGTTTTCTTCCTTGAGAAAAGGTCTACATATGTAGCTTAGTCTGGTCTCAAAATTTGTGCTCCTTCTGCCTCAGCTTCCTAAATGCTTGGATTATAGATGTGCACTGCCATATCTGGCTAAGTTTTTGAATCTCACTTTTGGCACTCTCTTCTCTTTCCCTTCTCATTTTCTAGGGCCGTCCCTAATTTCCACTATATACTTTTCCTTGAAATTCTGAAAAAGGTATTTGGACATACTGTGGATTATGTAACAGTGCACAGGAAAGACTCTTTAGGATCAGAGAAGGGAGCAGCAACACATATTTGCTGGGATGAGGTTTGTTTTGGGGCATATGAACAGATTGTGGCTTACACAGACTAACCAATGCAGTAATTATTCAAGGGAGATTTTTAATTATGTCTGCACTAGTCTGGCTGAGAAAGGCTGCTAGAAGTTCAAAGAATACCCAGAGATGTATTTTGAAGTTCATTTGTTACATTAAAGAACAGGGCAGTGGACATATGCAAGGCCCAGAGTTCAATTCTCAGTGCCACATTTAAAATAGAGGTATAGAAAAAATGTCAGCTTTGACCAAATTAAGGAGAAAAGCAGGAAAAAACTCAGAGATGCAAAGGGGGAAGAGGCAGTGAAATGAGATTTCTTAAAAACAAACAACACCCCCTACTTCCCTAACTGTGTTAAACAGCTCTTTTACCAAGTCCTCTGAAGTGATTTTGCTAAGGTACAGGCTGTGCGGGAAAGCCAATGGGGCTCACCATCTGAAGCTTGAAAAGTATAGTTAAAGCAACAATCCAGTGATGCTTGTGTACCAGACTTGAAATAGACTAAGGATTGCAGCTGCACTTATCCTCTAAATTGACAGGAGATTGAAAAGGCAGAGCAGATGAAAAAGTGGAAAGAGAGGCTTGAGAAAGAGTATTATTCTTCAGAAATGAAAGAGGACTACCAGCCTGTCACTCAGCAAGAATTTAGAAAGTAAGCATTTGTTCTAACCGGGGTACTATTTTGACACCATGATATGGGGACTGAGGAAGTGAGTTAAAAAACATTTTTCTGAGCCCAGAACCTTATTTTGATACATCACTTCCATTTTTTTGCCCAGCTTTAAAATTTAAACACAGCTGGTGTGTGTGTGTGTGTGTGTGTGTCGGGGGGCAGGGCGGGGGTTACAGGAGGCAGAGACAGGATCATAGTTCAAGGACAGCCTCCACAAAAATTTGCAGGACCCCATCTCAACCAATAAAAGTTGGGGGTGGTGGTTCACACCTGTCATCTCGGCTAGGTGGGAAGCAAGTTTAAACAGGAGGATTACAGTCCAGGCCAGCCCAGACATAAATGCAAGACCCGATCTGAAAAATAATTAAAAGCAAAAAGAGTTTGGGCTGTGGTTCATGTGGTAGAGTGCCTATCTAGCAAGCATGAGATCTGAGTTCAAACTCCAGTACTGCCAAAAAAACAAGTAGTAATAAAAAAATCACAGCACTCTGTTTCCTTAAAAAGTGAGATCAATTGTTTTTGGCCTACATCTCTTGAGAATGTACCATTTATATTTGAGAAGCATCACAGATAACTGTTCTGCATAAGTTTTAGAATGTATTTGGGGCTTAGCATACTATCTTCCCACTGAAAGCATTTCACAACAGGCACCAACGACCTGCTGTGTCTGTTACACCAAAGTGTAACTGATTCATTCTCTACTAACTTCTAGATTTTTTTCTTTTTTGGTAGTACTGGGGTTTGAACTCAGGGCCTCATGCTTGCCAGGCAGGCACTCTGATGTTTGAGCCATTCCACCTCTCTACTAACTTCTAATTTGTCTTCTAGACTCTTTTTATATGCTGTGGAGCTGGAGAAAGAACTGCACTACATCAGTTCAAAGCTAAATCAAGTAATGAGAAAGCTTTCAGCTGTACAATACTGAGACAAGTGGAGGTGAGAATGTGGTATGATCAATACAGTGTTTCTAACAGACTTACCCATAGTTGTGATTATTTCCTAAATGTGTCACCATTTCAGACACACTTTTTTTTGTGTAGGGATCAAACTCAGATCCTTGCTCATGCTAGACAAGCACTCCACCACTGAGCTACAAACCCAGCTGAGACACACTTTAAAAATATAAAACCAGGTAGGCACCAGTGGCTCACACCTGTAATCCTAGCTACTTGGGAAGCTGAGAGCAGGAGGATAGCAGTTTAAGGCCAGACTAGGCAAAAAAAAGTTTGCAAGACCCCCATCTCAACCAATATCTGGGTGTGGTGGTGTATGCCTGTCATCTCAGTGATGGTGGCAAGCCTAAAATAGGTTGCAGTCTAGGTGGGCCTGGGCAAAAAGCGAGACCCTATCTCCAAAGTAACCAGAGTAAAAGGGACTAGAGGCATGGCTCAAGCATCTGCCTAGCAAGTACAAAGTACAAAGTACAAAGCCCCAAGTTCAAACCCCAGTACTGCATCCCCCCAAAACAAAAAACACAAAAACCATGTATCACCATGTAATCAGTGCTGCTGAATGGAATCACTGTACAACATGCTTTCTGTATATACACACTAGTACACACATAGGAGTTTTATAAAGAGGTTTATTAAATTCTAGGAATGTGAAGGAAAGTACAAAATAATGCTTATGGTTTATGGGGCAAATCTCTAATAGTTCAAAAAGTAGGTGGAGAAAGACAGTTTTCTTGTAGCTACAGAGTATAAGAACTATTGGTACTTTCAAGCCATTGATAAATTGATAAAGGCTTAGGATTCTGGAAAGCCAGTATATATGACCCATGTAAAACAATCTGCCCCCATTCTTCAGAATTCAAAGTATCCTGGAAAAAGAGTGTCAAAGAACAAACTTCCCAGCTAAGTCTAGAAATTTCATTTAATATCTTCAAACTTTGGAAATTCATCTAGGTATCATTTAGTTTCTCAAAAATAAAGAACAGGGTAGGCATAACAGTGTCTTAAGAAGTTATGTTTGGAAACAGGAAATGAGGATGCTGCAAGAGCCATTTACATTTGTAAATCTGTGGATGACTGGTATTTTGGAAACTGTAGGGAAACATTTCTAGTTTTTCTATGTTATATTAGCCCTCCCTCCTCACCCTCAGAATAGCCATATGTTTTCTTAAGCACTGGTTTTTTAAACTCTTCCTGGGCTCAAGGGACCCTTCTGCTCCGACCTCTGAAGTAGCTGGGACAACAGTTGAATAAAGTAATTTTTAAACCACTACCCACCTTTCCTTAGGCCAAGCTCTGCTCTTAGAAACTAGGCATCAGGTTTTCTTACTGCAACAAGAAATGGTGATGACTCTCTCTGCAGCTTCTCCCTAGAAGCTAAGCTAAGCATTCAGTGGCCTTTCCCTGCCTTATCACTCCCTAGAGCTGTGGCCAATTGGATCCAATTGGTGCCCCCTGACATGGGTAGGGTAATTCAAGTAAGCATAAAGAACATTAAGGCAAAGGGAACATCCTGAGGTCTCAACCTTGTTCTTTTTTAACACCTACTGGAAAAACAAACATACATTTACAATGACTTAGAACATTAAGGTTCTTTTATTATAAAACTCTATACAATGAAGTGCCAGACACAGCAATGCAAGTATACTGGTGGACATATATATCTATATAATATTTATATATAGATATAGTTTTTATTTGTACCAAAGTAAAACTATCACAAACTGCCGAATTCTACCACCTACTATTCAACTATGACACAATACTGTCACAAAGCGTAAGTGCTGCCATGCCATTTTTACCTAGTCTACTCATGGCCAGACATTAACATTGAATAACCAACATCATGAAGCAGCTGTTAATTCTAAAATGAAACCAGTCAGGCCACTGACTTATAAAAATATGGTACTCAAATAGATTCAGCATTATAAAGGAATATATTATTTAAAATATTTAAATAGTGCACATGGACATTTTTGCATGTGGTATATAAAATAAAACATTCATAAAAAACAATATAACAGTGCACATAAAATTAGTTGCTATACTCCTGCCTGGAGAAAGAAAGAAATTCACTGAACTGTACACCACATGATGAATTCAAATCAAAGTAATACATTTTTTGGCATTTTTTATTTTACTTTTCTAGGAATACATTATGAATAGCCTATTATCAAAAGGAAACCACACAAAAAGGGCTGGAGTTAGTGCTTTTTTAAATTCCTCAACTACACATTCACTACCACTGGATTTTCCCCTCCCATTGAAAAAGGCATTGCACACACAAGAGAAATGCAGAGTACTAGAAACACTGTTACCAAGCTACCATGTGCTTACTTATGCAATAGTGCCAAGAAATCTGAGGTGCATGCTTCCCTCACCTTATTAAAGGATGTTGCAAAATTCCATTTTTGTATGAAACAAACTTTTAATATTAGCTAGTTAAGAAAAACATGCATGTGTCACTACATGCAAAACCTGGGCACAGCAAGATACTCATCAATCCAAAAAAGGGGGAAAAAATTTACACTTAGATTAAGCCTGACCCAAATCTGTTAACACAAATCAAGTCACTATTCCATAAAAATGATTAGCAGAATGATACCAGGAGAGTACCTGAAGAAAAGCCATGCAAAGCCAAAGAAAAAGAAAACACATGCTAAGAGTATGTGACAAGGGATACACCACTACATATCCCGGGAGTGACTACTTTAAACAGCATGTGATTTATGAGTCACTTTAGAGGGTGTTTCTGTCTCTATTTTGATGATTAAAAGAGAGGGGAAAAAAAGGTGCAGCCCCTGAAGGTACATGAAAAACTGCAGTGGTATAGCCCTTGTTAAGAACAGATTCACTTAGGCATAATGATTATTTTGCCAATTTAGGCCCATATGATTAAACACACAAATCTGAGCACCATCAGAGTTTCTACATACTGACATGGCTATTTTCTCACATTATCTGGAGGGGGATGGGGGAAAGGCGCAGGGGGCAAAGGCGCAGGATCTGATCCAGAAAAATCACATCATCACCAGCTGAAAACAGCAACTTAGGAACAAACAGTAACTTAAGTCCCATAGGCAGTATGTGATATGATTCACTTCTGTGTGTGATGTGTGGTATGTGTTTTCAATAGACTAATAAGCAAGGTCACTTTTTGGTCTACCTACTATTATCTTCATGCAAGAGTTGTGTGACCACTGAATCACAAATTTCTGTTAGCATACTACCTGTGAGGAGGTGTCACTTTGGAAATTAAACAGAAAAGTGTTCCAAGTAGGACTTGAAATTTCACTTTGATTTTGGTTTTCTAGGAAACATAGAACACAGTTGCATATGTCACTTTTATAGGCTTTTCTCTCAAATTTTCAGTCATTCTGTAAGAAAAAGGCAACCGAAAAATTCAGTGTGAAGATTTTTCTCTCAATTTTCTTCAGTAATGGAAAAAAAAAGTAATAAACAAAAAGCTTTGTATTTCCACAGTTCTTGAAGTTCAAATGATTAAAATTATAGTCTTTTTGTAATAAGTAAGATGTATCTGTAGTAAAAGAAAAAAAACAATGAAGGAAACTGCATGTTTGCTAAAGGTGGAGAGGACAGTCTATGATTAATACGGAACATCACTTACGTTCCCTAGAGAGGGCCTGCTCACCCTCCTATCCTCTGTTTAGTGGCACCACAACCAAATTCAAAATGAGACTGAGTGCCTCGCAAAACAAACTCAAGCACCAGCCAAGTACACATGATGATAGCTTCAAGGATACAACTGATTTATGATAGGAATTTTTAAGGAATGTATTATTATATGGATTTTGAAGAATCTTGTTTGCTAATAAGAACTTCAAGAAGCCTAAGCTTGGCTTTAATTTTCTTGTACTCCCTGTATTCCTCAAGCACTGGAACACGATCTTCTTTCTGGGCATTCCTAGGAGAGAAAATAAAATCTGTAATATTCTAGAGACTGCCTAGAAAATAAAGACTCAGAGTTGTCCTAATATGAAATAATACCACCAATACAAGTTGAAGTAAAAAGTTACTCTGCAAGAGAAAACTATTCCTACTTTTGATGGACTTTTCTACTAACAGATTAAATTATGCTATGCTAAACAATGACCAGCATAGAAAACTAGAGGTAATCCAATATTTTAATTATACATCCACTGTTAAACTCTGCCAGGTCTAAGTGCTAGAAGGCTACATTTCATATGTTTAGTTAACTGTGGCTCCAGTAAATTAAAATGTAAAAGTAAACCTTCTTACCTATAACAAAAGAATAGTTTTATTAACTTTATATTAATGACCTAATGCACTTCAGTTTAATCACCAGCTAAAGCATCAAATCATCATCCAAAGCACAATTATAAGAGAAATTTTCTTCCAATAATATAAAGAAATAGAAGGCACATGGAAAGGGCATTCCTGTCCTTCATATTTTCTTAATCATATACGCCAACCAATATAGGAGATTCAAAGCAGAGGAAATTAAAGTACAACTATTTTGGAATTTATAATACAGATCAGCTATTTGAAAAACCATTTCTGAGGTATATGGTAGTTTTACCCTCAGTTTTGGTAACCATCTGAATGGGAAAGTATTTCTTTGTATAAGAGGTCTCCCCACACCTCGAGTCAGCTGTGCAACAGTTAGATAAAAGCATGTACCGTATTCTTTTACGGGAGCCAAGTTGTTACACACTTTGGGACCAGGCAGCTTAGAATAACCCAACCATCAGCCTAAGTACAATTGTCTCAGTATGAAAACTAAGAATCCAAAATACTGCTACTATAGGACCCTTTCTAAAACAAGAACCATCTCATTTCACAACAACTTCCTAAAAGATGAGGATGCAGGATAAAACAATATAAAATCATTGTGGGCTAGGGACATGGCTCAGGGCCCTTTGTTAGATCCCCAGCACTGCAAGGGGAAAAAGAAAACAACCCACTGTAACTCAACCAACACTCCCCAGGAAAACCTCTGAATATTTATTTAGATGTTGTTTACTCCAGCTCTGACTTTTCTTTGCCATTAAAATAGCGCTTCAGAGCATAAAAGAATATTGTAAAATTTAATTTTCAATGCTAACATCCTGTACATACAATTTATTTTTAATCTTATATGTTCCCCTATTTTAACATATTAGCATTTTGTGAGTTAAAAGAGAAAAGATGCCTCTATGATGTTCAACAAACCTTCCATTTTGTTGATAAAATGCTTCTTCAAATTCCCGTAATGTTTTACGTAGTTTCTTTTTTTCAGCTCTGGCTTTCCAAAGCTGTTCCAGTAATTCAGGCCTAAAATTGAAATGGAAGGAAAACATCACTTAAAGGGCACAGTTGATTCACTATATTCTTAACAGTAGTCTAGCCCTGGCTGCAAATGAACATTATTAATTGGGGAGCTTTTAGAATACACAATACCTAAGCTCCACTACAAACCAACTAAATCAAAAGAGTTGACAGTGGCGCTCACTATCAGTACTTAACAAAAAAAGAAAAAAAAAATCTTCCTAGTTGACCATAAAAGTGAAGTAAGCGTTAAGACCACTGTCATAAAACTTACAAGAGGCTAATATGCAACAAACATAAAATTTGAGATAGTTCCTATACTTTGCTATAAAGTGAATATAGGATTTCTGCTTTGAATTTGTGAAACACTATATTTAATATATAAAAGAATGAAAATGACAGTATGTATTTGTAGATCAGGATTTATAAGGGTGTATCCCCAGATCAATTCTTGATTAATTCCCCCTCAAGTACTCAATTATTTAACACAGGATTTCTTGGCATATAAATCTTATTATACAATTAAGTTGAAATCACAAACCAGAAACATACATCGAAGCTGCTCGAGTACTTGATAATGAGAGATTCAGAGCCAGTTTCTCTTGATTTTCTTCAACATCAGACTCTGAGTTTTCCAATGAAGACTGTGCCTGCACAGCTGTTTTCAAGATGTCACTTAACTCAGAGGACAGACTAACACCATCTTCTTCTTCTTCCTAAAAAGATATCCAAAGAATTAAAAACAGGCCATGACTCCCAAATTCCCTTTCGGAGAAATCAGGAATGATTTCTCTAAAGGATTACCTTGATTTCTTCAAAAAAATGTGCAGTTTCTCCTTCTATGATTGGCTGTAACATCTGACCCCGACGTTTAGTGGAGGGAGAGCCCTGTAACAACCAATTTTAAGTATTTAATATATTTAGTGAGCTAGGCACTGGTGGCTCACAGTAATCTTAACTACTGTGAGATTGGGAGGATCGAGGTTCAAGACTAGTCTAGGCAAATAGTTGGAGAAGACCCCCATCTTCAAACTAACCAAGCAAAATGGACTGGAGGTGTGGCTCAAGTGTTGCTTGAGTGCCTGCTTTGCAAGCACGAAGCCCTAAGTTCAAATCCCAGTCCCACCAAAAAACAAAACAAAATTAATGTTTGGAAATTCCTTGTGTAGCTATCCTTATCTCAAACTAGCAAAAAACATTATTTTAAAAATCTTTTTTCTTCTACAAAATCAGGAGAACAGGAGGGCAGAACAGGTCCTGGGGTGTGTGTGGGAGGGGGTTGTTGGCACCAGTGGGATGGGGGAGATGGTGGGGACAGGAGGATGAACATGGTATAAATAATGTGTACACATGATACCTGTTGAAGGAGGTGATAAAGGAGAGCGACGGTTTCAAGAGAAACTGGCTCTGGATCTCCCATTATCAAGTACTCGAGCAGCTTCGATGTATGTTTCTGGTTTGTGATTTCAACTTAATTGTATAATAAGATTTATATGCCAAGAAATCCTGTGTTAAATAATTGAGTACTTGAGAGGGAATTAATCAAGTGTAATATATTTGATACACTGTAAGAACCTTTGTAAATGCCACAGTGTACCCCTACCCAGCAGCACAATAAAGAAAAAAAAAATTAATGTATTTAGTGAAGCTTCATTTACAGATATTAAACCTTACTTTCACCTAAAGGAGTATCTTAATGGTAAAGCATATGCTCAGCATGTCCAAAGTCCTGGGTTCAATTCCCGCCACACCACATATACAAAGAAAGGCCAGGTATGGTGGTACACACCTATAGCCCAGCTACTCAGGAGGTGGAGATAGGACCGTGGTCTGAAGCTAGCTCAGGCAAGAGAAACTAAAAGTAAAAGATGTGTGACTTAAGTGGCAGACCCTGAGTTCACTTTAGTCCCACCACCACCAACAAAAAGAAACCTTTATTTTCAAAACTGTAAGTATATGCTTTTAATTTTTTAGAAGTTCATGATTTACTTTTATTTTTATTCATACATACATAAGGGTGATAAATGATTTATGTACAGAAAAGTCTTAAAAGAGTTCATTCCATAAATATCTCAAATTTCTAGAGAAAAAGGGTTTACTGGAAACATTTTCCTTTTGGTTTTCTGAGTCAGGGTCTCATTATGTAGCCCACACTGGCCTTGAACTCATCCTCTCAAGTGCTGGCATTACAGGTGTGAACCATCACACCCTGCTCGAACATTTTTCTTTTTAAAAATAGCTGTTAAATTTTTTTTTTTGTCTAAGGACCCTTTTATATTCTTTTTTGAAAATCCATCCTTTGAAAAATATGATTCAAAGAAGGAGCTTCTCCTTACCTACTCATGATTTCTATTTGGGCAGAGCAGAAGGACTCCAGCCAGTTAGTTTGAGAAAACACGATGCCACCATGTGCCCTGGATGTCAGACATGGAGCTAGAGTTGTTTTGAGTCTCTGAGGAGACTTGGACTTTTGAACAATTGTGACACTATTGATACTTTGGGGACTCATGAGATGGACTAAATGCATTTTGTGTTACGAGTCTTTGGGAGTCAAGAACGGGATGTAACGATTTTGAATATGAAGTGACCCTCAAAACATATGCACCAATGTGCAAAGGTGACCCCTGAGAAGTGACTGGGTAGTGAGAGTTCTAACCTCACCAATGGATTAATCCATTGATGAGTTTATAGTTGAATGAGCTACTAGGAGGTGGGACCTACTTAGAGGAAGTCACTGGTATGGGCTTTGAAGGTACATTTTGTCCCTGGTCCTTTCTTCTCTCTCTCTGCTTCCTGGCCACCAAGAGATGAGCAACCCTGCCTTGCCATAACCTTCCTGCCATGATGTCCTATTTGCCATAGGCTTATAAAGATAGGACCAAGCTACCATGGACTGAAACCTCCAAAACCATGAGAAACACCGTATGCATGGAAATATCCTTTATAAAATATACAACTCAAAAAACGTGTACAATTCCATCACCACTATTAATTCTAGAATGTCTCATCACCTCAAAAGAAACTCTGTGCCCACTAGCTGCAGTATTTGCCCTATCTCTTTGTTGTCCTTTAACATGTCCTTTGTTATACGTTAAGTCAGTTTGTTTTCTTTTTTGCATGTATTTTCGGTGTCATATTTAACTGAAAAACTCCCAAGGTCACGAAGATTCACTCTGCTTGCTAAGAGTTTTGTGTTTTAGAATACTGACATTATTATAGAGATGAACTATAATGAATAAAATACATTTAAAAGAACTATTAAATTATCATGTGAGAATACTTACTATACAGGAGTTTTTGTTCAAAGAAACCTGATTTTATCTAAATAAAACAGTGCTGAAAAGGCAAAATAAACAACAAGGAAAAAAATAAAAAGCCAGCCACACATGGAGATGCCTGTCTAAAATCCCAGCACTCAGGAGGCTGGGGAGGAGGATAGCAAGTTCAAGGCCAGCCTGGGCTACAAAGCAAGATGATGTCTCAAAAAACAAAACCAGCTACCTAATTAAAAACACTGAGTTCACACGAGGATTAGTTAGCAAGTGCTCAGCAGGCCTTCTGTGCTTCCTGTCCACCCTGGTGTGAGACGTTCCAACACACCCACCCCACAGAACCACTAAGAAAGGTGGTGTGGGTACTACGGATGGATACAGAGATCTGAGCACACAGACCCCACTAACACAACCTGGAGCAGCAGAGCACAGCAGGCTGAGGGCCCGCACCAAGGAAGAGATTGAGGCTCCAACTGAGTGGGTCCCAGCATGTCTAGGCACAGTTTCAGAGACATGTTCTGACTAGATGCCCTAAGGGAAAAAAAGAGCTGCTCAGGAGACCTTTAGGAAAATGTTAGTTGATTTGTATTTGTCACTGGTTTTGTTGTTGCTGTTTGTTTTCTTTGCAGTGAAGGGGATCAAACCTAGGGCCTTTGCACATGCTAGGCAAGCACTTTACCACTGAGCTACAACCCCAACCTTTTGTTGCTGTTTTGCTTTTTGGGTTTTTTTTGGTATATCTGATTTGGGGAACTTTGTAGTCTTTCTCTCACTTTCTATTTAGTTCTGCTTTTTATTCTGCAGTCATCCATCATATGTGAGCCTGATACCTGCCCACCCTCATATTCAGTCTTAAACCATATGTTCTCCTTTCCTTTCCTAATGCCCTCCCCATTTATAACTTTCTTCCCATCTACAATTACAACTGCTCTCTCAGCCATATTTTCTTCTACCTCTATTCCCCCTACCCACAATCCTTTGATACCTATACTTTTAGCAAGTAATTAGATTGCCAGATCGTCTTTGGGGTTTTTGTTGTTTGGGTTTTTTCTGTCTGTTGAGTTTTCTCCATTTCTCTTCCTTCTCTCTTCCTCAACACATTATCTATCTTTCCCCACTTTCTCACTAACCTTAGTGAGACTAAGCTTAGTCGCCACCACTTTCTGCCTTACAAAACCATACACATTCTATCAGTCCTTGGAATTATCCCTCCATCTCCTTTTCATTGCAATCCTTTTGTTATTTTTATGATACTTTTGTGATACTGGGGTTTGAACTCAGGGCCTACACCTTAAGCCACTCCAAGGGTGTAATGGGTTTTTTGAGATAGGGTCTTGTGAACTGTTTGCCTGGACTGGCTTCAAACCAGGATCCTCCTGGTCTCTGACTCCTTTGTAGCTAGAATTACAGGTGTAAGCCACAGGCGTCCAGCTCATTGCTGCCCTTTAATTGAGATCTTAGATCACAAAGATTCATCGGTGCTCTTACACTCCTCTAAAGATACTGAACCAGAACCAGAAGTAGTGATTAGATTGCTGTAATCTCAAGGTTATGGTTCATCAACTTTGACAGTTTTTGCAGCTATGTTTCCTCTCCCTGAGTGGCACCTAGCATCTTGAGCACTTAAGTTGAATGTCTGACTACTGAGCAACACCCCCCTCCCCAAATCTAGTAACAAGAAAACATACCACAATCCAGCAACTACCCAGTCCTCCCAGTCTTAAGTAATCCCCAACTAAAAGTCACAGGAGACTAAAATGTCCAACGAAAATCTCAGCCCCAGATTCAGAAATCCCAACATAACAACAAAAATAATATGAAAAAACAAGCCAACAAATCCACAACAAAGGACTTAAATGATAGTGAAGAGGAAGAAATTTCAAGCAATTAATTCAAAAAATGACAAGAATGATCATTGAAATTATAAGCCCAGCACTGGTGGCTCATGCCTATAATCCTAGCTACTCAGGAGCCAGAGATCAGGAGGATGGTGTATTGAGGCCAGGACAGGCAAATAGTTCATGAGACCCTATCTCGAAAACACCCAAAACAAAAAGAGCTCAAGTGGTAGAGCACCTGCCTAGCAAGCTGAGATCCAGAGTTCAAACCCCAGCACTGCCAAAAAAAAAAAGAATGATCACTGAAATCAAAGAGTGGATTTATAAGAAGCTGAATGAATTCAAAGAGAATACAAATAAAAAGATAATTGAACTCAAAGAGAAAGCAAACATCTGAACAAAATAGGATGAACGACCTGTTTCTTACTGAAGAAATAAAGGGGAAATCAAAAAGTTCCTAGAATTTAATAAAAATGAAAACACAGCTTACTAGAACCTTTGGATGCAGCAGAGGTAGTGCTAAGAGGAAGGGTTGTAAGTGCTTACAAAAAACCCAATCTCAAGTAATCTAATGACATACCTCCATCTCTCAGAAAAGAACAAGAACAATTCAAACCCAAAATCAGTAGGCAGAAACTGAAATAATAAAAAACAGGGCAGAAATTAATCAAAGGGAGAATAAAGAAACAATACAAAGAATCAACAAAAAAGCTGCTTCTTTGAAAAGATAAAAAAGATTGATAAACCCTTAGCCAAACTAACCAAAAGGAAGAAGACCCAAGTATAAAATTTGAGATCCCTTTAAAAAGGAGCTATCACAACTAATACCAATGAAATCCAAGGGTCATTAAAGGAATACTCAGAAGACCTCTACTCCAATAAACTGGAAAATCTAGAAGAAATGGACAAATTTCTAGAGGCACTTGAACCAGGAGGATATAAACCACTTAAACAGACCTGTAATAAATAAGCAGCAAGATAAAAGCAGTAACAGTCTCCAAAGAAAAGAAAAGTCTAGGTCTCGATGAATTCACTGATGAATTCCACCAGACTTGTAAAGAACACCAATGCTTATCAAACTATTCCATGAAATAGAAAGGGAAGGAACATTACCAAACTCATTCTATGAAGCCAGGATCACCCTGATACCAAAACTGGATAAAGACCCAACAATTAAAAAACTACAGACCAATTTATTTGACGATTATAGACACAAAAATCTCAGTAAGATACTTGCAATCAGAATTCAACAACACATTAAAACTTGATCATACACCATGATCAAGTTGGTTTCAATCCAGAGATGCAAAGATGGCTCAACATATGCAAATCAATAAATATAATACAACACATAAACAGATTCAAGGACAAAAATCAAATGATCGTTAATAGATGCAGAAAAAGCCTTTAACGAAATCCAAATCCATCCTTTTATGATAAAAGCTCTGAAGAAACTAGGAATAGAACGAATATATCTCAACATAATAGACGCCGTATGAGAAACCTACAGCCAACATCATACTAAATGGGAGAAACTGAAATCATTTCCTCTAGTGTTAGGAATGAGACAAGTGTGCCCACTCACTCCACTGGAATTCCTAGCCAGTATAAGAAATAAGGCAAGAGAAAGAAATAAAAGAGAGTCAAAAGAGAAGGAAGAAATCAAATTATCCCTACTTGTAGATAATATGATCCTGTACTTAAAAGATAGTAAAGACTCCATAAAAAAATAAAAACACAAAGAACCTCTTCTATCTGATTAACACCTTCAGCAAGGTAGCAGGATATAAAATTAACAGAAAAATCAGTAGCTTTCTATATACCAATAGTGAACAGGCTGAGAAGGCAATCAGGAAAACAATTCCATTCACAATAACATAACATAATATAACATTAACATAAATATAACATAACCCAACACTAACATGACACAACTAACATAAAGTACAGTACAATACCTAGGAATAAACCTAGATAAAGAGGTCAAACTCCTCTATAATGAAAACTGTAAAGCCCTGAAGAAATTAAAAGACACAAGATGACGCAAAGACCTCCCATGCTCATGGATTGGCAGAACTGTGAACGGCTATAGTACCAAAAACAATCTAGATTCAAGGCAATTCCCATCAAAATCCTAGAGTCATCCTTTACAGCTATAGAAAAAGCAACCCTAAAATTTATACGGAAGCACAAAAGACCCTGAATAACGCATGTCATCTTGAGCAAAAAGAGCAATGTTGAAGGTAACTCAATACAATACTAGAAATTGTATCTTGTGGGGAGCGGATTATGAGAAGCCTGTGAGAACTTGTCATAAGGACAGTTGTGCTCAATGATCTACAGGCTGAGTTTGGCATGGCCCCAGCTGCAGAAGAGTGCAAGGGCAAATGCAGCACAGCTGCTTTTCCTAATTGTTTATGTTCAGAGAAGTAAGAATGCAGGTTTCTCTTGTTAAAAGGTCACGCCCTCCCCAAGAACTGTTGCTTCACATCCTTGTTTACCACTGTATATAAAAGACTCACTGAAGGAGGATGAAAAGGTTTTTGATGGGGGATTAATGGAAGTTTTTTTTTTTAAATTATTCATTTATTCACATTATGAAAGAGTTTTTGATGGTGGATGGATGGAAGGTTTTTGATGGGGGGAGGGGCTGATTGGCTGGCTATGGGCTGCTTGTGAGACTGCTGCTGCTGCTGAGTAGCTATGCTAGAGATTAGAGGAAACATGGGACAGTGCGAGTCTAAGGCAATAGACTTAAGAATAGAAAAGAAGCAAAGTTTTAAAGAAAGACTTTAGAAGTAAGGTTTTAAAGAATAGAGAAGAGAGAAATAAAAGAGAATAACAGAGAAAAGAGAAGTAAAAGAAGAGAAAAATAGAGAAAAGAGAAGTAAAAGAAGAATTATTAGAGAAAAGAATCAACAAGGCTGATCTCCATCTGAGCACCCAGCACACCCAGCACACCCAGTCCCAACTTTCTGTATGTCTGTCTTCTATCGTTTGTCCTTTCTGCATCTCCAGTGGCCCCCAGTTAGGTCAGGGAGAACAGAGCTTGAGAAAGCTCTCTAGGATACCTCAGAGCCATAGTAAAAAAATCATCTTGACACTGGCACAAAAAACAATGGTACAGAATTAAAGACCCAGAAATAAATAAATCTACACAGTTATAGCCATTAGAATTTGTTTTTTTTTTTTTTGTCAGTATTGGAGTTTGAACTCAGGGCCTTGCACTTAAGAGGCAGGCTCTTTTAACACTTGAAAAGAAAAAGAGCCACCTATTACCCCATGTTTTAGTTTTGTTGTTTTTTTATTTATTTATTTTGGTGGGACTGGAGTTTGAACTCAGAGCCTTGAGCTTGGAAAGCAGGCACTCTACCTCTTGAGCCACACCTCCAGTCAATTTTGCTCTGGTTACTTTGGAGATGGGGTCTCCCCAAGTATTTGCCTAGGCTAGCACCAAACCGAGACACTCTAAATCTCAGCCTTCCAAATGGTTAGGATTACAGGTGTGAGCCACCAGGCACTCAGCTTAGCTATTTAACTTTTGACAAAGGAGCCCAAAATATATACTTACAAAAGACAGCCTCTTCAATAAATGGTGCTGGGAAAACTGGTTATCTACCTGGAAAAGACTAAAGCTAGACCTATATCTCACTGTGTACAAAAATCAATTCAACATGGATCTAAGGTCTTAATGTAAAACCTGAAATGCTGAAACAACTATGGGCAAACTCTTAAAGGCATAGGCAAGCATTTTAAGTAAGACTCAAGTTGCCCAAGAAATTAGGAAGAACTGACAAGTGGAACTGCATCAAATTAGTAAGCTTCTGCACATAAAAGGAAACAATTATCATCATGAAGAGATAACACATAGAATGGGAGAAAATCTTTGTCAGCTATTCATCCTTTATCTAAAGGATTAACATCCAAAATATACAAAGAGCACCAAAAAATAAACATCAAAAGAATAACCAAATGAATTATACAAACAGTTCTCAGAAGTAATAGCATAAATGGCTAAATAAGCACATAAAGAAATGTTCATCATTCTTAGCAATAAAGGAAATGCAAATCAAAACTACACTGAGAATCCATCTCACCCCAGTCAGAATACAATCATCAAGAAAACAAAAAAACAATAAATACTGGCAAGGATGAGGTTGGGAGGGGGAAGTGACCTTTATACACTGTTGGTGGGAATGTAAATTAGTCCAGTCACTATGGAAATCAGTATGGAAGCTCATCAAAAAGCTACAAATAAGCCAGGCACCAGTGGTTCACACCTGTAATCCTAGCTACTTGGGAGGCTGAGATCAAGATTTTGTTTTCCAACCAACCCAGGAAAAAAAATCCATAAGACCCCATCTCTCAACAACAAAAAAAACTGGGTGTGGCGGCACACACCTATCATTCCAGCAAGTAGGCAGTGTAAAATAGGAGGATTACAGTCCAGATGGCTTGGGCAAAAAGTGGAATCCTATCTCCAAAATAATCAGAGCAACAAATTGCTGGAGGTATGGCTCAAGTGATAGAGTTCCTATCTACCAAGCACAAAGCCCTGAGTTCAAACCCCAGCACCTAAAAAAAGCTAATAACAGACCTATGTGAGACCGTACCTGAAAAATAACTGAAGCAAAAGGGGCTGGGAGTATAGGTCAAGTGGTAGAGAACCTCCTGCTTAGCAAGTTCAAGGTCCTGAGCTCAAAACTCTAGTACTGCCTTCTCAAATGAGTAATATTTGGTTGTTTTACTTACAAGGACAGGAGTGATGCTAGCCCTTGTCAGCATCTGTTTTACAAGCCTGTATCTATCATAAAGAGGTTTAACAATGTGCCTTTCTTCCCTGGTCACCTGAAGCCAAAAAAAAAAGTAAGTCACCTAATCATCAGAAATCTACAATGTTCCAAACACTGACTCCCCCGACCCAAAATTTTTAAATGTTAAATGCTTAAATTTTAAAATATTTAATGCTTAAATTTTAAAATGTTTTATATTAAGTAGGTAATCTCCCAATTCAAGGAAACAGTGCTTTATAACACACTTCTGAAGAGTATAGACCACAAAAGTGATTCATGGTCTTTTGTAAGATAGAAAATCAAATTTTTTTTTTAGCAAAAGAGGTATTACCGGCCTTCCATGTTGACTTTCATAGTAAAGAAGACTTTTCTGGAGAGAAGTTTTCTCTTCTACCAGATGATCTTTCGTCATTTTCTAGGATTGGAAAGGAAAAACCATTGACACCATTATTATTCTCCTCATTCCTACAAAGCAATGAGATTGAAAGCACAGACCATTCCCAATGTAGCCCAGGCCAATTCATTCTTTGCTTTATGAATTTGCAGGCAACATTTTTCAGTCTATGTACAATCTGGTCTTCTAATACACAGATAACAACCCCCTCTGCTGGTTTGATTTATATTCTATTTAAATAAATTAGGAATACTGGCTTTGGTATATTACTTAAACTCTTCATATTCAATACTAATCTGTAAAATGGCAATAATTCATTCTACCTCAAAGGACTTGAATGAGGACTAAATACATGTGATGTGATGTACTTGTAACACTGCCTAATTAGCACACAGGAAGCATACATAACTATGCTTACTACTATACTTAATGTTGCACATAGTCTTTTGTTAGTATCAAGACTACTGGATATAATCTGGGTGTGGTAGCACACACTTGTAATCCCAGCACTCAGGAGGCAGAGGCAAGAGGAATAAGCATTTGATGCCAGCCTGGGCTACATGGCAAGATCCTGTCTCAAAACCCACGGGCTAGTCATGTAGCTCAGTGGCAGAGCATTTGCCTAACGTGTACAAGGCCTGGGTTCAATCACCAGCACTGAAAGAAAAAAAAAAAGACAAAAACTAGTAGATGGAGACACACACATCCCAGATATATGCACAGGTTTTTAAGGTCCAATGTTTCCTAAGCTATTATGGAAACCTTATAGCAGTACAGTGGAAAAATGCAAGAAAAAAAAGTCAAAAATGTCAATTTGTAACCTTAGACATCAGCTCATGACCTAAATTTCCATTCATCTGGGTTGGCATATTATTTACACTGAAATACAAGTATCCTATCTTTAAGTTTTCTAAACAGTAGAGTAAGCAGAATTCCCCAAATTTATTTGTCCACAGAACCTTTCCTTTTGTTCCTTAGGCTCACCTATTGCCATCATAATGAACCAATGTCCCAGAACCCTTCAACTAGTCCAAATAAACCCTATTTATTTCCAGGCTAATACTGCCCTATCTCTCACCAGAGTGAAATCAGAGATTAAAAAAAAAAAAAAAAAAAAAAACAAACATATTCACTGGACAGGATCTTCCTATAGCAGGTAACACTTTTTTTTTGGTGGGACTGGGGTTTGAACTCAGGGCTTTGCACTTGCAAAACAGGCAGTCTACCAGTTGAGCCACACCTCCAATCCTTTTTGCTCTGGTTATTTTGGAGATGGTGGCCTCAGGAACTATTTGCCTGGGCTGGCCTTGAACAGCACTCCTCCCGATCTCAATCTTCCAAGTAGCTAGGATTACAGGCATGAACCACTGGTGCCTGGCAATAGGTATTACGTTAGATTAATGCAGTAAAAGATAGCTAAGTGTAGACTTTATAAACTCTAAATACTGTGATTTCAATCTCAAGCTTGAACCTTAAATCTACAATAATGAATTTGAGTACAGCTAATCCAATGAAATCACTTATAAGAGAAAGGAGGTTTTCTAACAGGAAAAAAGAAAAATAATAGTTGGGAGAGGGAAAGAATGACTAAGTCAGCTCTGTTCAAGGGAAACCAAGACTTCAATATTTAGATCACGACAGAGGTATACTCTCTTGTCAAGATAAAAATATGGCAGGAGTCACCATTACCTATACAAAAGTTGACCTGAAATGATCCTCTCAGCTCTCCCAGCATATTTCGTGGTACATGATGTGGGTTGCTGAGTGCTTTCACTGGAAAGCATATGCTTTACTAAGCAAGAGTAATTGTTCTTCAAAAATTTAATTCACTTAATCCTCATAAGCAATCATATCAACTTAATATTTTTTTAATGGATGCAATCATATTTATATATATCACAGAGTTGTTGAAGGGACCAAGTGGCAGAACGCATATAATGCAACCTGTCGATGTCTGGCATAAGGTGAGAGTTCAATATGTGCAGGAACCAGATTCAAACTCAGCTCTGTTTCATCCTCATTATACACTTACCTTGTCAATGACCTCGAACAGAAATGAATCAATCAGTAATCTAGTTTTTTTTTAAGTTTTACTATTGTGATTCAACTCCTGGAAAGATTTAGCACTTACATACTGATGAAAGCAAGTTTTTGAATCTGCAAACCTCACACTACCTAGACATCTAGACATCTCTAACCTGCTGTGGTAATTATTTTGTTTCAGGGATTCTACAGACTAGCCTGGTCAAAAAAAAAAAAATCACAATTCAACATTACCTTGATATCTTCTGGAAGACACCTTTCAACACGTTTTTCCTTCAGTCTTTTCAGAATCATTTCGAGGGTTGCTTCCTTAGATGGTTTTTTCTCCTTCTGAATGATTCTGGGTTCACCTTCATTCTCTTCATCTTCATGGTCAAGAGAAGAGCCAAAACTTTTTGGAAGAGTGTTACTACGTGGACGTGTCTGAGGTACAAATTCTCCATCAGAGCTTTTATGTTTTGCATCTACATTTCAGAAATAAGAGAACAGATTAATAATAATTCATAGTACTCAGGCTCAGATATTTGAAAGAAGCTATTGATTCTTTCAATCAATATCCTACAAATATAAAGTGAGATACAGGAATAAACAAAACAGACATTTGTCCCTGTGTTTTCATGGAGCACATATTCAGGGAAGGAAAAACAGTATCAAACAACTGGATTAATAAATAATTTTAAAGAATGCTAAGTGCTATAAAGAAGATGTAATAGGATGGTGTCACAGTGCTAAAAGGAGTATATTCAACTACACTAAATGGGATTGACAAGGAGGCCTTTACAAATGCTGTCATTCTTTTTGAATATGGAATGACAAGGAGTTGAACTAACATAGATTATTTGGAGAAAAACATTTGTCCCCAACTGAGGGACAAATAGCCTATGCAAAGCCCCTAAAGTTTTCATGTTTGAAGAACAGAAACCAAGACATGAAAAGTGACAAAATTTGCTAAAGGCAGAGTGTGCAAGGCCTTAAAAGCCACAGTACAGAGTTTGGACCTAAAATAATTCTAAGAGGGAAGGCTTGAACAAAACAGTAATGTTATTTTTTTTATGACAATCCTGGCTGCTTTGCAGAAGATGGACTATAGGACAGGTTAGAGTGGAAGAAATTAGGAGGCTAATGCTAGTAAACTTCATGTTAACAATCAATGGTTGGAAACTGGCATTTAAACAAAGAAATGCTTAACAGAACTGTTGGAGAAAATAAAGTAATCTTGTAAAGGGGAGTTAAGAGAAATAAACTTAACCACAGGACTGCAAACTCCATAACAGTAGGGACAGTGTCTGAGTACTTGAAACTTAAGAGATACTAAAACTTTTACTTGTAAATTCAAATGAAAAACCAAAGCAATGATCAAAATTGTAAACCCACAGTTGATTTTTTTTTCTTTTCCTTTTTGAGCAGTATTAGGGTTTGAACTCAGGGCTTCATGCTTGCCAGGCAGTATCTACCTACCACTTGAGCCATGCCTCCAGCTCCACCATACTTGATTTTTAAAGTGACTGTAATTATTAAAAAGTATATTCACACTGGGCACCAGTGGCTCACGCCAACAGTCTAAGCTACTTAGGAGGCAGAGATCAGGAGGGTCATGGTTAGAAGTCAGCCTGGGCAAATAGTTTGCTGAACTCTAGCTCAAAAAAACCCATCACAAAAAAGGACTGGCGGAGTGGCTCAAGTTGAAAAAGCACCTACTTAGCAAGTGTGAGGCCCTGAGTTCAAACCCCAGTAACACACACACACACACACACACACACACACACACCACACACACAAAGCATATTAACAAGCCAGACACAGTGGTATATGCTTGTAATCCCAGTCCTTGGGAGGGTCAGGCAAGAGGATCACAAGTTCTAGGCCAGCCTGAGTTACATACCGTTTCAAAAAAAAAAAAAAAATAGTAACAATAATTAAGGAATAAAAATGCATAGTCACAAAAATACCTTAACAACTGCTACCCTGGGCTAATACCCAGAAAAGCAAGACATAGTTTATAATTCAAGAAGACTTGTGGGGCTGGTGTGAAGTAGCTCAAGAGGTAAGAGCACCTGCCTAGCAAGCATGAGCCCAAGTTCAAACCCTAGTACTGTAAAAAAAAAAAAAAAAGGCGACTTATGATTTAGCAATAGTCTTTATGGTATCAACAATTCACTATGTCTCTGTGTGTGAGTGTGTGTATTTTTAATCTTTTGAGGCACTGGGGACCAAACGCAAGGCTTCACTCTACCACTGAGCTACACATCCCTACCTCCCTAACTAGATATTCTTACTCTTTGAAAAATCTTAATGAAATACATACCAAAACCCAAAACATCTTACTATATAAAGTATATTTTAGACAAACTTTAAATCCACATATGAATCTATAATCTAGGACATCTTTCAAAAGAATGATACTAATAAATACAGAAGAAAGACATTTGAAAGAACATAAAACAGTAGATTTCTCATCTCATGATATACAATGTTGACCTTAACTAATTAAAGAGCAAAAGGAAACTTCTATTTTTGTCAGAAAATCATAATACTCAAAACTATCAAAAAAACCATTATTTTTACAAAAATAATAAAAAACATTTAAAAATGCAAATAATAGACTAGCTGGTAGTCTGTATTTTATCTGGCACAGACTGCAGAGGCTCCTGTATACTACAAGTGGGAGCTTTCTTCAAATCTATAGCTGCTTAGAATAGTACTTGTTGGTGGAGATTCCAAGTTGGCGGCTAGAGGGAGGAAGCAGAAAGCGTGCCTCCTATAGTGAAATCTTGGAGAGACACTGGAGACACACCTTGCAGGCAAAACCACCAAGAAGAGGCAAAACTTTGACCCCTCCACACCTCCAGCCGGCGCAGAGCATCTCCACTTCACGTTAAATGGAGAAAAAAGGAGGGCCCCCGGGCTGCCAAGTCGCCCCTGCCCAGAAGGCTTGGGAAGATGTGGACAAGTTTTGTTCTACTTTATTCGTCCCCTTTGATGAGACAACTACAGAACAACATCTGAGGTACCATCTCCAGGATTGGAGACTGAGACGGACACCAAAATTATTACGACTGAAACTCTGAAACTTCATTGCATTTGAACATGGAGGTCTTTTTTTTTCTATTTTTCATTTTCTTTTCTTTTATATATTATATATATATATATATATTTCATTTACTTATTTTTTATTTTTATTCTCATCTTTATTCTTTTTATTTTATATTTTCAATCCTCTCTGTCTCTCTAATGCCTGTTCAGCTTACTGTCAATTAGTACACAAACACTCCCCGTTTATACCGTTGAAATTTTTTTGTTTGATTCTTTGTTTTTTTCCTACTTGTCTGTTTTTCCCTTTTCTTTAACTTCTTTGCTTTCCATCTCCTCTCACCCTCCATTCTAAATATTACCATTGTTATTATTACAACTAGAAAATACTTAATTGCACACAGTACAGGGACAGTAACAACACCAAGGACAATGACGGGAAGACAGAAAAAACAGGGAAAACAGTTTCCCCACAGCAAAAAATTAGTACAGGAATCAGAGGGGAATGAAGAAAACAGATACTCAGATCCAGACTCCAACAAAATGAAGATAAACTATGCAAAGAACCCAATGAAGCCCACAAGAATAATTAAAGACATACTACAGGTATCAATGAGAATTTATAGAGAATACTGCTGATAGGTCAACCCAAATGTACAGGAGACACTCAAGAAATTCCAAGACAAAAAAATAGAGAATTTGAAAAAGCAAAGAAGAATATAAAGGAAACCAAGAAGCACTGTATAAACACCAAAGTGAATCAAAGAACACGATGAATAAAGAGATAAATGAACTCAGGAACAAAAATAGACAACATTAAAGAGGAGACACTCAGGATATGGAAAACCTCAGAAAAAAGAACGAAACAGAACTGCAAAACAAAACGGAAAGCCAATCAGCAGAATAGAAACAAAGAGAAGACAGAATCTCAGAACTTGAAGATGAAATGGTAATTAAAGGAAAAACCAAAGAACTATTATTTAACAACTCAAGACCTGTGAAAAGAAAATGCAAGAACTCACTGACTCCATCAAAAGACCAAACTTGAGAATCATGGGCATCGAAGAAGGAGAAGAGTGCAAGCAAAGGGAATGTGTAATATATTCAACAAAATAATAACAGAAAATTTCCAAATCTAGAGAAAGTATTCCCATACAGATGCAAGAGGCCTCCAGGACACCAAACAGACCAGATCAAAATAGAACTACCCCACGACATATATCATTAAAACAACAAGTTCAGAAACTAGGAAAGAATATTGAAGGCTGTAAGAGAGAAAAAACAAATAACATACAAAGTAAACCCATCAAAATCACAGCAGACTTCTCAACAGAAACATTAAAAGCAAGAAGAGTGTGGGTGAGATCTTCCGGGCACTGAATGAAAATAACTTCAACCCAGATACTCTACCCAGCAAAACTATCATTCAAAATAGATGGAGCAATAAAAGTCTTCCATGATAAGCAGAAACTAAACATATGTGACCAAAAGCCACCACTACAGAAGATTCTCAAGGGATTCTGCACACAGAAAGTGAAACCCAACTTAACCATGAAAAGACAGGCAGCACCAAACCACAGGAAAGAAAAAGCAAGAAAGTAGAGAGTAACTCAACTTAGGTAACACAATCACAAACCTTCAAACAACTAAGACAACTAAATGACAGGAATCACCACATACCTATCAGTACTAAAACTTAATGTTAATGGACTTAATTTCACCATCAAAAGGCACGCATTTGTGACAAAATGGATTAAAAAGGAAGATCCAACAATTTGTTGCTTACAGGAGACCATCTCAACTGACAGAAATAAGCACTAGGCTAGGAGAAAGGTGGAAGAAATTTACCAGCCAATGGCCCCAAAAACAGGCAGGAGTACAATTACTTATCTCTGAAAGTAGACTTCCAAAACCTACATTGATCAACAAGATTAAAGAAGACATTCCATACTAATAAAAAGGGGAAATGATGACCAAAAGAGAAATAATAATCATCAGCCTAGGTATGCCCACCCATTCAAACGCAACCCAATTTCATCAAACATACCCTGAAGACCTAAAAGCCATATATTAACCTAACACAGTGGTTGTGGGAGACTGTAACACCCCATTATCATCAATAGCTAGGTCATCCGAAACAAAAAAAATCAATTAAAGAAATCCAAGATTCTAAAAATACAATAGATCAAATGGAATCACTTGATGTTACAGGAACATTCATCAACTTCACCACCAATATAGCATGGCTCTCGCAGTACAAGCAGCCCATGAACCTCTCCAAAGGATAGATCATTATCCTAGGCACCAAAGCAAGTTCTCAGCCAATATAAGAAAATAGAATTTAC